ATAAGATTTATCTGCATTCCAGGTTCATGTGGGAACATCCAAATATCTCCCTTCACCTGACAGAAGTCCAACTGCATCTACACTGTAAAAAAACGAAATACATAAAACAAAAAAAACTCAAATAAATGTTTAATACTGGAATAAATGTGGCTCTGCTATTTGTATTCCTTCATTTTTTTAAAATTTTTGCATCTGTCCCGTGTTAGCACCATTATCAACACGTCCACACCCTCGCCGGGAATCCTGCAGAGAAGTCCGCAGAAAGTCTGGAGGCTATCACTCACTTGTGTTCACACAGTGTACAGAGGATCTCCAGAGTTCAGTGCATGTCTGAAATGCGAACATTGGTGATACTTCATCTTTGGAATAATCTATTTATAGTCACCAAACAATAAGGGTTCATTAATATTTATGCGTGATAATACGGGTAGGGACTTAAGAATTCACAGCCTCTTTATGCCCTGTCTCATAAAAGAGAAGATAACAAATGCTTCCACTGTCTAGACAACATCATTCATCGCTATTGTGGAGTTTTACATTACAGCCTATACCCCAGACTGTTATGACATAAAGAATAGCAGTTACTGATATCACCTGTGAGTGACATCAGCATACCCACCCGTCTGAGTCGGGCCCCGTACGAGTCACGGACACACAGAGCGCTCACATACCACAATAAATAATCCAAAAAAAAACACACCAACTTCCTCCTTTCCCTCCCTCAAAGCCTCAACACCCCCTCCTCCCCTTCCGTGGGTGAGTAATCAGTGGATACTGGAAATGCCTCATGGCTGACCTTATAAGGCTGTCAGGAAACTGCTGATTTTGGGTTTCAGACCTCAGATAGCTATACTTCTCGCCTCTTACCTCCATTGCCTCAGTCCCACCGCCTTCTGCCCTCTATTACTGCCAGCATCCTGTCTTCATTAGCTCATATTTCACACAGGGGAAGGGACCGTGCTGTACCAGCTCCTCAGAAGGTCTTTTTTATCCAGCATGAATTCTTAAGATAACAGGCTGGATCCTATCACCTGCCATCATCACCAAAGCATTTATGTATCATGGAAATAATCTGCTCTGCTAATGGCAGGATGCAGAAAGTACTGTACGTTGTTTATCCTGAAAATGACTTTGCAATTCATAATAACATTAACTCTGTTGACATTTTTACTACTTCCGTTTTCATGACTTCCATGCAATTGTGTGGAGGGGATGAGTTACAGATTCTGAAGAATTTGGTGGAAGGACGTGGTTAGGTTCTGGGAAGAAGCCTTTCAATTTTAGTGGCATCAGGGTTTTTTTTCACTTTCTTACACATTTTGAGATGTTGATATTTATCTTCATCTCTATGGATCTTGGTGAATTTTGTCGCAGACTGACTGGATTTTAGAGTTTGGCCTTAAAGGATGTGTTTGTTCTACTGAGAATTCCTTCACATGCTTTCAACCCAGTCTAATATAATATAGTTTAAGTTGTGCTATATCATGTGCAGCTTCTCGGCGAGCTCACAAACTGGTTTTAGGTCAATTCAATCTTCCTATTTTCTACATCCATCACAACAGCAAGCTGAAGTATTTTTACATGTCAGGTTGTACTAAGAGAAGCAGATTTGTCAGTTTTTTGGGGTTGTAATAACTTATAAATGTAAAGGTTCTGTCATCATCGACATATGCATGATTTTAAATTCTGTTAAACTCCATTTTAATAAAAGGGAAGTGGTTTTGTACATCAAAGTATATTGTTGTAGAAAGCCTATTCCCTCAGGTGAGGCAGAGTCTGAACATGAAAAACTTACCTCTGTAGCACACCCATCTCATCTTTGCTAGAAGCCAACAGCTCAGGGCTACAGCTGCTGGAACACTTCTGGGTCACAAGTTTGCTGTAGTGTTGCATTGTGGGTAGTGTAGTCTTTTGACAGAGAGTAAAATGAATGAAAATAAAATGACTCTGCGGCATCAACATTTTCACAGGTTGATCACGACACCTGCTTATAAATAAACAGTATCATTGAGAGTCGGAGGAGGTAAAAGAAATGGCTTCATGCAAATACAAAAAAAAATCAAACTTTTCTGTCAGAAATGTAGAAAGTAAAAAGAAATCCTTTGTGAAGCTCAACCCCAAAGTTGAATGAATTCTTTCGTTATCGAAGTTTCTAGGAAATCTGTTCAGCAGTTTTTGTGTAGTCATGCTGACAAACAAATGGACACTGATAAACACATTACCTCGCCTTACCAGAGGTAAATAAACACTTGTTGTTTGTTTGTAATAAATTTATATCTTCCTGATGTAAAAAAAAAGCTGCCTCATTCACATTCCAGTCTCTCGTCTGTATTTGCGGAGCATCTTGTTAAGAGCGTAGCAGCTAATTTAAAATAATTAGAAGGTTAGCCGATTCCCTTGGCAGAAATGTTTTAATGAAATTTGTTATTCTAATGAACCGAGAGCAACACATTTAATCAATCCCTTGGAACTGGCCTTTTATATGATTTTCTGTCAGCAAATGTTGCTGTTCATTTCATCTGGTCAACACAGCATGACAGTGAGGGTGTGTGTGTGTGGTCAGATATATACATACATTTATTAAATTAGTGTACTTATACTTCACATGAGTGATTTTATTTATCCTACTGTATATATTTTTTACGTCAATACTTTACATAGACAAACAATGTACTGTTTCCTCCTTTATGTTTATATGAAAGCTGCAGTTTGTAGTTACTATGTAAATTAAGATTCGACAAACGAAACATAGCTTATAAATACAACACGATGGTTTCTGTTTATGTGATGGTTGCTAAATTCAGTTTTATCTCTAGAATCTCATAATTTGGGACAAATAAAGATTACCGGAGTAGATCGTAAATAAGGACCAGGCTGAGACAAGAGGAAGACTATTTCTCATTTACATTTAAATGTGAGAAAATAGTTTTGAATTGAGCTCAGTCATGTCTGGGCGAAAAAGGAAAGAAAGAGAAGAGATTTATTTGAATTTTCTTCTCCTCTGGCGTTACGCTCCCAAACATACAAAATAGTCAAAATACCTTAACTCATCAAAATGCCTCTTTTGCATTAAGGAATCAGTCATATTGATCAAATTGTAAGTTTAAGTGCATAATAATGAATGCTTTTCATTTTATTACTTGAAACATATTTAGCTAATAACACTCATGGGCAGTTTCTTGCGTAACATAGAGAGTACATGACTTGTTCTGCAGCTTTGGCATTTTTACTTGAGCAAAGGATTTGAATTCCTCCTCCACCACTCACCATTTTCCTCATCCAGACTCAAACCAGTCAGGTGGATTATTTGTTTTATGTAAAAGCACATCAGCATAAAAACTGATGCTATATCTAAACAAGTTTGTGTCCTCGTGGTGGGGTTACATAACAAAGAAAAAAACTGGCAGTGAGTCAAATGTTTCAGCTGAGACACGCCTCGAGTCATCAATCTTTTTCTTTTTTTTTTTTTTTTACATATTTTCTGTAGCAGTCATAAAGAAGAAATGTTTCATTTTATTGATTTGATGTCTGCAGTCAAATAACTGTTGGAATAATATTCAATTTATAGACACTTTTTTACATGAAGCCTCCAGCCTCTCATAAAGGAGGGATATAATTGCATGGTGTGGTCTGTTTGAAGACATAGTTAGTCCCAGCCTCCAAATCCAGTGTTCCACTTCAGGCAGGGCTGCTCAAACAAGTTTTAGGCCTTTAACTCGACACGGTGGATACAGACACACTCGGGGGTCCACATTTGATCTTGGAGGATTTTTGTTGCATTAGCTCTCGCATGAACAATCCTGTCTTTACAGCGAAATAAGGCCAGCACAAGAACACAATGCTGGACTGGATGTACCAGCAGTGATCTTATAAAAGAGCATTTGCGTTGAATGTCAGACACTGTGAATTTCTTGCATAAACTAAATATCCAAGCACTCACACAGAAAATGTTTGTTCAGCTCAGAGTGTGACTTTGTCGACACAGTAGCTGCTCTTGTCAAACACAAGGTTGTCTTTTGTCTGATCGCACAAATCGTCTCTTCTCCCTAAATGTGATCGGAGTGAAGGCTGTGCTTGGATACTTCATTCGCAATTCACAAAACAATGTTACACACACACAGTGTGTAAGTGTGTTGACTGAAAAGGCTGCAGCTGCCTCACAATGGATAACACAGTGACGTACATGCATCTGGACAACAGAGTTCTTTTAAAATCAAAGCACCTTTAAGAAGAAAACCGGTCTCTGGTAGAAACGAGCAGAGCTGTGACGTGTTGAGTATGTTGCGTTGTCACATGTCTCAGTCGTGTTGTTGTGTTGGATTTCTGTCTGCAGCCAGATGCCTGAGGGGTTCCCCACCTGCAGCTCATAACTCTTTAATGGTCGAAACTGGCAAGCACTTCAACTAAAGCAGGTTTCTTGATGGTAAGCAATAAATCATGGCCTCTGTTTCACTGCAGCAGCATTATTGAATATTAAAGTAGCACATTTTATTCTTCACCCACACATGGGGGCTTTCCTTTTTGTGTTGTGTATTATAAAGCATAATGTGTATTATAGTTTTCAGTAAGCCTGGTCTAACAAGTATTATCCCAGAGCGACCCAGTGTGACTCTAATTTGTGTTCTGGCTCTTATCAACCCAATATGCAAAGATTTGTTTTAAATGTAAAGATACAATTGCTCTTCAATATGCTCTTAATTCTAATGGATTAAAAGCAAGATGGATGTGTTTTTTTAATTGCTCTTAAAACATTTTGTATAATGAAGTTGAAAGAAAAGTGTCAAGATACAATCATCAGTGCTATAATTTTGCAATAATGCATCAATACAAAACCTTTTATGGCTCAAAATTAACATGTTTGATGATCAATAATAATAATTATCATTATTTTAAGCTAATGAACAACAGGTATAAAAATAAATAGTTTTTTGTCCAAAATGTATAAATCCGAAAACTGTTTCCGAAAAAAGGTTTTTGATTTATATTTCAATTTCTGAGGGTTCATCATTCTAGAGATTCAAATTTACAGCCATAAAAACTTTATTTTCCATCACAAAATTGGAGAAATTAGATTTTCCAGATAATAAATAAGTATAAAAACAAAACAAATACAGAAACACAGTGAGAAAAAAATACATCAAGTAGAAACACACACAGTATTGTGACCTTTCTGGAACAACAACAGGAAACTGAAAAACCGCCTCATACAGTATAAGCCCACGTCCTGGTCGGATAGGGAAAAAAGCATATTCCTGATTACACTGACCTTCTTTGAGAGGATATGGTAATTCTCTAGACATCATAGGATGTGGCGCTCTCCACAGCAGCAGTCTGCAATAAAATTGTCACATGGCATTTACAGGGGGAGACGCACTCCCCCAATCAACCTACTTTCATATGTCTCACAGTGTTATATAATATGATTCCAATCAGGGCTCAGGCACAGGGCCTCTCTGCCCTGATAGAACCTCTCCTCTCAACATGTCTCACCATGACAGAGAGAACACTGAGCCACCACATGACTTCTCTTTGTATCATGAAGGTGTGTGATATCACCCTCAGGGGAGGTTATATTTTAATTAAACTGTTGATAGCCTGCGTTGAGATGGCTGACACCACCCTCACATCAGTACAGTAAATAAGTAGTAAGTAAGTTCATATATCAACAAGTTGGAATTAGTTTATTCTCATTCATACAAAGAAAAAATATGGACAAATTCAGATTTTTCTTTTAACATGAAGAATCCTGGTGGCAACTGCATCCGGCCAAGACATAGTCTAACACATATGTTCTTCTTTAAAACCTGGGAACTATTGTTTATTAATCAGAGAGCTAGTTATTTTTATTTTTACTGTTCAGTTATTTTACGTTTGGATAGAATCAGCCCTCTGTTTCAAGTCTGCGCTAATCTAAGCTACGATAAACTAAACTAGGGTTAGGCAAGTAGTAACTATGGTTAGGGCAGGTCTCCAGGAAATCCATGTAAGTCAATGCAATGTCCTCTGAAGTCATGTAGACATGTGTGTGTTTTGATTAACATGGAATAGAAGCAGCTTACATAGAATGTTTTGTAAGGCATATTCATATTCAACATATAGTGTGTTGTATAAAAAAGATATCAAAACTATAAAAACACTTCAAAAAACATCTCAAATTTTGTCACAGAATTGTTTTTCCCTTGCAGTCCATCTGAGAGAGAAGCTGAGACTCCTCCCTCAGGAGAACAGCAGGACTTTCTGCAGTGTCCTCCTCAGCGGCACCTTCTCCTCAGGCTTGCTGTCAGGGATCATGTCAGCGCTTCTCTCTGCTGTCAGCTGGAGGCCTGGCCTCCTCTCCCTGACAGCCTGCAGCCCCGCCTGAGTGATGTTCCTGCAAAAGTCCACCTTCACCTCCTCCAGACCGTCTCCGTGAGCCACCACGCCTTCCAGGCTGCGGTCGGTGATACGGACGCAGTTCTCCAGGTGAAGGCGACGCAGCCTCCTGCAGCTCTGCAGCAAGGAGACCACATCCTGGTCAGTGATGTGGCCGCAGCCAGAGAGGGTCAACTCCAGCAGGTTGGGACACCTGTGGCACAGCAAGTGATATCATTAAACAATGACAGGTTCCCAAACATGTAATGGAATATAGACCTGGACATAACAGAGGGGGATATATGCTGTAGTATAGGGTCTGATCTGAGTCAATTAATGAGAAATGAACAATGACAATAAGAGGCAGCAGTCTGATTCTATAACAAAGCAGTTTGATACCATTTGGTTTATGAGTCCCTCCCGTGCACAAATGGAGAATGTTGCTGTGGCACAGAACAATCACAGGATATTTCATGAATAACAGCATTGCACATTCTCTCATGCTCATTTTTTTCAGGAAATTCTTCCAAAAATGAATCATTGCATGTGTTTGCTGCTCATTTCCATCCATTACCAGGAAGTGCACTGCAACCAACTGGCAGCCTGGCAGCTACAGAGCTGGCAGACCCTGATGGCAAATGGGATGTAATTCACGTTAGATGATGCAGATTACATAAAGACTTATATAATCTTAGCAGTTTGCCACATGTGAGACAAGCATACTGCAGTTGCCTTCAAGGGTTGAGGGTGCTGCCCCAGTAACCTCCAAACATGGGACAGGGCAGTCAATCCACGTGCCCCCGTTTGCATTGTTACACGGGACAAATGTGGGGGGGGTTATCAGCGGATGTGACTGCAAAGTATCGACGTTGACCAAAGACAAAAGAAGTAGAAGAAGAAGGCAGAGAGTCCTGGTAAATGGAGCTCGGAGCTGACGGCATTTCAGCTGCTTTCTAATAACCACAGCAGAGGCACAGAGGTAAACATAATGGTATAAAAACTTCAACAAACTTTGTTACATAATCCACCCTCTCGTGGCTCCTCCCCTCACTGTGTGCTAATGTGTGTGTGTGTGTGTGTGTGTGTGTCTGTGTGTGTGTGACTGTGTGTTGTTTATTATCCCAAAAGCATATAATTATCTACATGTCACCTTGTCTTAATATAACCACATCAACCTCCCCTGCGTTTCACAACTGCACACTGGCAAACAAACACCCAGTTAATGACTTTATTTTCCTCTGTCATCTGTGTATCTATCTATCTATCTATCTATCTATCTATCTATCTATCTATCTATCTATCTATCTATCTATCTATCTATCTCTATCTATCTGTGTATCTGCTGTATAAACTGCAGTTCACATTAAAAACCTATGATTAAAACACACAACATAGAGGGCAGTCTGGTCGGAGCTGAGCACAAGCAGAGCACCACACCACTAACCTGTAATCATCTCCCTAATGAGCTCTTTGGTTTCCTGACGGTTATTCCGTCTGATCAAATCATCCAGTGAACTACAAAAAGAACTGAGACGTATATTTAACATTCCACTCCTCCGGCCTGTTAGTTGGATTGGCCACTTTTTAACAGGCTTAAGAGGTTTTTCGGAATTTTTCACTATCTCGATGCGGCAGGGAATATTTAAACTTTGTAAGAAGACATCCTAGAGTATTACCCAAACAACGTGCTGAAGCTTGTTTTGTAAGATAATGCATCCTTTTATTCAAATGGTGAATATCTCATACTGGAATGAACCCACCCAGAAAAAACCCACAAAGGCTTCTTGTGCCGCCCACTGTCCAACCCACACTGCATGGCATGCTTAGCATGTCAATTCATGTTGCATAATCCTGCTACTGTGACCTCAAGATGATCAAAATCAAATGATTGAGCTCCTGATGATTGATTTACTGGAGTCATCTGTACGAGGGGAGCATTACACTGGAAACTACACAATAAAGAGGCCCACTGACATGCTATGGTTTATAGTTTTTTCCATGGAGATAAAAAAAAAAACAGTCAGACATGAGCTTTGCGTCAGAGTTTGCATGGCTTTTTATCCAGGAAGAGGCAGGCAGAGACAGACGCACATGTTCATTCCTCTAACAGCAACAAAGAGCCAATTGTAGGCTCCACCTGCTTGTGTAAATCTCCAGTCTGCAGCTGACTGGGAGGGTCTGCAGCCAAATCACTCTTTATCACCCCCCCAGCTTCTGCATGTCCCCTCCCACTGTGTCACGTGCACTTGCTTTCTTCTCCTGTGGACTATTTGGGAGGGTTTATCAGTATGCAGGGAGTGTGCTTGTAGCCCGTTGAGATACAGGACCCAGACAAAGTAGGTGGTTCTAGTTTTGACTGCTCGCACAGCCCTCGTGTCTTGCGTCTCAATTTTCACAATACAGGAAATCCTCAAAGGGTCATACACTGAACCCATAAGCCAGCCTCCCTTCCATTCTCTTGTCCCGGCCAGCAGTGGTGGCCTGGCTCCCTCACATCAACCGTTATTACTGTTACACTGAAGAAATTACCCAGAGACCTCATTATGTCTCTCCAGGCTGATTCCTGCATGCAGCCGGCCGCATGAGGCCGGCTGCCAAAAACGCTACGTTTCAGTGACCTATCAAATCCAGCTGTCACAGCATTCACCAAACATAATTTGATATCTGACCACAGTTATGTTAGTTAATGGAATCACTCTCATGTCCCACAGATGTGTCATTGCTCTGTCTCTACTGCCAGCTCAGGATCCACCATCTGTTTCTAATGATTTTTGTTTCCTGCTGCCTACAGCTAAACATGGCAGCTTCACTAAGCCATGTGCCTTTTCAAGAAAATGCATCATTCACCTCCTTGTGGAGGGTGTGAATGACCCTGAAAACCCCAGAAATTGTGAGATCGTGGGTGAGACACATTTGCCCCCCCCCCCCAATAAACCCATCATAATCATGTGTGACACCTCAAGCTCCAGAAATAATTTTATGATTAAAGCAGTGATAGTGTCTGACATAATGACAGTAACACCTACACCTAAATAAATCTATCCGTGTTCAATTTTAACTGAGGATGTGTTAGAATGAACGTTCATTTAGTTCCACAGCCACATTTAAGATTCTGGTTTGTATTGTTGTGTAACCTAGGGCTCAGGACCTCAATAGGTCAGGGGGTAATTGTGAGTGGTCGCAAAAGAACCACTAAGATTGGAAAAAGTTATCCCATATGTTATGTCTAATTTAAAAACCTTTTATGCTGTAAATTATTTTCCGAATATTCAAATGATTGCTTGGTTAAATAGTCTGGGGGTCACAAAACAAAAAAGCACCCGTCCTGTTTTATCCACCCTCTATTGGTCTATTCCTTTGGCAATTCTCTTGTTGGTTGTCTTTTAAAATACACGACATAGCAGGGAAACCCCACACAAACACTCACATGTGGCAGACATGGGCCAGGAAAGTGCTGACCAGGCTCTCATGTTTGCTGCAGATGTCCCTCTGAAACGAACTCTTCAGCCAGTCCTCGATGTTGCACACTTGCACTCTGCTGGAGTACCAGCAAATAGTCAGGTACCGCAGCGAGGGTCCCAGCACAAAGTTGTCCCTCCTCAGCTGACCCGGCGAGCTGAAGTGGAGCAGATTCCAGAGGCAGGGGTCCACGAAGATCTCGTGCAGCAGTTGAGAGGTGAGGGACAAGCTCCTGCGACTGTCCTTGTCCAGGAAGGAGAAAAGGTGGAGGAGACACTCGTGGTTGAGCTGGGTGAGGTGCATGGTGAGCCGTCCAGAGACACACAGAGGGGTCTCGTCCCTCGGGCAGCGACAGGCCGGCTGGTAGGCAGCAACAATGAGCCTACAGCCTGTATTGTGTGGCCTGGATACATGATGCCTTCTCAGGCACATGCTGGAGGCCTGCACATATAAGGACGTGTGAGTGTGAGCTATTTTGGGAAGACAACTGTCGGCTTGGTCGAAGATAGAAGTGTTTCAGCCATACGCTCCCTTTCCATCTGTCGTGGCTCTCAACAGGCAGCCAGCAGTGGACGGAGCCAGATGTTTACACTGACCTGATCCAATTCTCAAACACAGATACCCACTGAATGACACACAGAAAGACAAAGGCCTCCATACTGCATCACAAACTAAAACCATCTACAGGTTAAAATGTGCACCTGTTGATGAGTCAAGCTGTAATTCACATAAGATTAATGTCTCTTTATGTCGATGTTTAACTCACTCAGTGTGTTATGATGTATGTGTAGTTTGACTCTACAGGACGATTTTCACATTCATCGTTTTTTAATGGAGGAGTAAATGTAATTTTAAGAACGAGGCAATCCAAAATCCAAAAAGAGTCTGCAGCAAATGTTATGTACCATTTGAAATCTTTAATATATTTTCAAACTAAAGGTGGTGCAAAATATTCAATATATACTCTAATAATTATATAAAGTGCATATATAGTTTTTATAGTGGCTATTTTACTGGTTTTAATGGAGGTCTAACAACACAACTGTAATGACCCAGTTTATTCCCTTTCCATTACTTTTCTTTGTCATGTTCAAAGTGAATGGAATTATATTTTAAATACTTTAGTTGCCTTGTTAAAATTATGTCTGCTCCTTCAACCTCTTTGCCAATCTAAGAATGTGAAAACAACACCCATCTTGAGTCGCACTGTGCTCATCCTCCAGTGAAGGTTAAACATCCAAGTGAGGAAACCATTACACAAACCTGTTCTGTTATGAAATGATAAGTGAACCATGACTCAGTGTGGCTGAGCAATTGCCCAACTAGAGAACATACTGAGATGGCAAAAGGCAAAACACCATTATATCTGTGTCATCACTCCATTGCCAGTTATGTCCTGTTCCACTTGTTATCACCACCAATCTCCAAAGAAATGCAAGATGGTGGGAAACAGCACTGTTGGGAGGCTGATTACAGTCTGTACTGTGACTCATGGTGTCATGATGTCCTTAACCAGAACCCTGATCTCAACAAATACAACGTGAGCTCATTATTAGCTGCTGTGATTGAGCCTCCAAGAGAAAAAGGGAACAGAAATAAAGGGTTGTGTCATTAAAGGGGATGGAGCAGCGAGCCTGCAGCCACCGGTGAGCAGGTGAGGAGGAGCAGCTGTTGTTCAGCATATACAGAAGCACTTGTTCCTGCCTGAGCGAGAAGGCTGATTGGCTGGCACGTGTCCTGAGGGGCGCTCTCATGAGTGTGTGTGGGTGGAGATGTTCGCTAGAGGGAAGGGAGGAAAAAAAAGAGGCATGCTAAAACATTTTTTTCTCTCTAAGGTCGTATTTGAACATATCAAAGGCTGTTTTCCATTAACGAACAACAATAATACCGGTGTTGGGACAATTACCAATGTACCTTCTGGTGTGCATGTGTCCAGCTTACAAAACGTGACATCCTATGTAAACAGTAATAAATGACTAGACTAAATGTTTACATTTGGAAAAATGTACTTCTAGTCTATATTTATTTTACATTTTGGTCATTAAAATTTGTCAAAGAACATGAAAATGTATATAAAAACATCACATTTTTAAAACAAAAGGTATCAAATGTCTGAAACACCAAGTCAGCAGTTTTAACAATTGCATATTAATATTCTGTCGAATGACTGACAGTGTCAACTTTTTATCCGCCCCTCTGTCCTGGAGAAGAAGTTTTTATTTTATTTTTTAATTCTGTAACCCAGAGCTTAATTTAGATAAACTAAATCAGGAATAAACTGAATCTGGATCTGAAATTTGACATTTCTCATCTGAGGTTTTGTGATTACATGAGCTAATTGTTCTCTTATTCAAAGCAATATTCTGCCTATTAAAGCACTATTTAAAAAAGGACTTTCAGAGCAGGTGCATCAGAAGAGTGTCTGCTTAGCTATCAGTGTTACAGGATGTCTGATCGTGGTAACGGCTCGCTGCCAGGCTCACTAGAAAAGGAGTGGAGCTCAGAAAAACATCAAACATTTGAAAAAAAAAAAGACTCTTCGTTGTATTTTGTCATGTTCACTTTGCCTGATACATTTTCTGAAGTTCATGGGGCGTGTGTAGTTCAAATATACTCCGACACCAGTACAGACAAAAAACTAAACAATTAGACAATGATCATTTCTTTCACATTGGTTCTGGTCAAGAGGTTAAAACAACTTTCTAAGACTCTAAAGAGCAACTCTCAGTCAATAAATGTGTTGGATTTAAATCCTAAAATCTCCACTAATACCTGTAAAAAAAGAACTGAGGTTCTTAATATGTGGAAAATATAGTTAGAAACTTTAAAAAAAAAAAAAAACCCTATTCTTTTCACAATGACACAGTGTCTCATCAGTCTAAACATTGGACCAACTGAGGTTTTCCAAGGCTAAAGCTTCATTACTTAACAATCACCTTTGTAATCTATTACATACGGAGAAGTCTACCTCAACTGAAGATTACAACATCAAGGAAATAAATGCAGAGTCTACTAAACAAAAATCAAGCAGCAAATTATACATGATGCCGTCATGCAAGTCATAAAAGAAGAATTGTTGCACATATATTATTATACATAGAAAAATTATTATAATCAAGCACTGTGTGAGATGTGGCCGACGTGGAGCCGACATGGAGTGAGGAGCTGGTCTAAGGCAGTGAAGTCTGACTGAATCATTGTGCAGACGTCTGTATAGCTTGGCCGCTCTCCTCTGTTGCAGCCTTGTCAGAGGAATCTCTATCTGTGTCAGCTTCATCCATGTCTCTACCCACATTTGCCACGTTGACGTTATCTGGGGATTTCTTGTCCAAGGTATCCACCATGTGTGAGGCTGCTGCATCCATCGAAACACCATCTGCAGCCTCCGTATCTGCTGTGACTTGGTCCCGGCCACCTGCTCCTGAAGAAATGCCGTCTGGGGCCGTGTTGTCCACAGCGGGTTTGTTGGTGGTGGTCTTGTCTGAGGGCACGTGGCCAGTCCTCTCCACGTAGAAGAGGATGTAGGCCTTGGCCTTCCTCACTGCATCCTCATTGGTCAGAGTTACTGTGCTGTCGTTGAAGTGGTACCAGCCGCCCTTGTGGCTGCCATATGCTGTATAATGCCCTGATCCAACCCTGTGAACACAGACACATCCATCAGCTTCTACTCTCTGGCTTCCTACAAGACCTAATTTCCTGCTGCTGAAGGGAGGGGGGATGCAGCAGCGCAACATCGCCACTCAGAGGCAAAAGGCAAAACAGCAGCACTTTGATCCACAGTTCCTCCTGGCTTGTCTAAATGCTTTTTCAAGGACTCTCCGCCTAACGGCTTTCAACATTTAGTGGCTTCATGAATTTTTAAACCGGAGCTGTCAACAAGGCTTTTCAACAAAACTGGATCTGAACCGTTTTATAGCTCTGGGGTGACTGACAGCCGACTGTGGTAGGTAGAGCTGCTCAGCAGATGATGATGTGCAGATATACGTGTTGATTTCAATTTTGCCCAGATGGTGAATAAAGCACATCTAGGCTGCTGTCAGTGCTCATTAATATGGTAAATCATAAGGAAACTTAAACCCCAGAAGCACTAGATGTCAATTATTACTTCACCCTTTGTGTGTTTAAACTAAAGCTCCTTTTTCAAAAGGTAAAAAAACAAAACACTAACACCCACTAACATCTGGCTTTTGTCTACAATGGGAATAGATATAATCGGTAAAAGCACTGAAATAGAGAGCATAAGATCAAGCCTGAAAAATGTTCCACTCACCCAGAACCATGATGCACGACAACAGCCGCAAGGTCGTACAGGCAACTCCCTGGTACAGAGTTCTCTGGCTGCAAACACGAGAGCAAGGTGAGAATTAACACAACTGATAGTGGTCTCTTTCCCTTTTCTTTCACCCCCTCCATCCCTCTCTTATTTTTTTTTCCACCCATTACTCCCCTTCAAACCCAACCGGTGGAGGAGGATGGTCGCCCTCCTCAGCTCTGGCTCTGTCAGAAGGGTTTTCCCTCTCCATGGTCACCATGTGCTTGGTCATTGTGAGAACCGATGGATTTCCCTCTACATTTCTGTACGGTCTTTACTTTATGATGTAAAGTGACTTGAGATAAAGTAAGTTGGGATTTTGAGATTCGCAAATAAACCTAAATTCAATTGAATTTCTTGTCGACTTAGTTCTACTCACACCATTTACATCTGAATAGATGATGATGATTTAAAAAAAAAACTATATTCAATAAATCTTGATGGAAATGATACAACTTTCAAGCTGATAACGAAAAAAAGAATAATGTGAAGGAAAATTACAGATTTTTCTTTGCATTCGTTGTTGAGGCTGTCAAACAGATTTGCATAGCAATAGCACCCCCTGGAGCAACTAGAGCTACTAGCAACTGTCTTTATTTTATGTGTGTACACAATTCAAATATTTTTAGATGTACTGTGTCTGTGAGAAACCAAAATGTATCTCTCTGCATGACATTTATTTTTCTTCATGGATATAAATCCATCATCAGCTGGCTGTGACGGGGGAACATTTGGTCTGACTAAATCACCAGTTTGACAAAGGAGCTACTGTAATTTTTGTAAATATACAAACCTTCTATACTATCTATTCCATTGTACTCGTCATGCTGTCAGCAGCTGCACAGTTTGTGCTGAACTTACAATGCTTACAGATCAGTGTTACATTTCTCATGTCTTACCAAAGTCAGCTGTCTGGCATTGTGCTTATTTTTAAAATTATCAAACCCTCTTAATTACAAAGGGGTTAAATTTAGATGAGTAGACTTGGTTCTTGGTGCATTGGAGGGAAAACAAATAAAATGACCACAATGGCCACTTCTGCAGACAAGTTCTCAAGTCTTTCCAAACAATGGACATAGAGGAAAGCATGGATGGCCTATTAATACAAGTATTATTGAGGTTTTGTTATTTTGTATTTTGTGATATAAGTACAGCAAAGTATTTCTTGAGTCCTGAGAGGTGCAGCTGATCTCTGACCTATTAGTTCATTGTGGAATTGGTGTGGCTTTCGATGACCGCCATTATTTTCTTCAGTTAAGCTGCACTAGTCATAATTAAATAAATGGTTTGTTCCTCATCATCATCATGAGATAATTTTTAGACTGATTGCTGTTGTCACAAAATAACTCCTACTCTTTAAAATCTTTTGGCTGAGATATAGCAGTTTAAAACCGCTATTGTAAAATTCCATGATCAGCATCTCTTCTGTTTTGTGCTCACCTCAAGCAGGTATCCCCTCATGTCCAGGCCTTTCAGTGGAAATTCCACATAGGTATCGACCTTGTTTCTCAAGAAGGCTGTCCAGTGGAACCTTTTAAGGTGAAGACACAAAACCTACAAATGGAAACAAAACCCCCAGTTACACCAGAGCACACTTTTTAAGTCAGAATGGTGAATTATTATAAAATTGAGATTTTCTGGCTCCTACCTTTGGCAGCTTTTGAATCCAGAACTTCTTCGTGGACTTCTGTCGCTTTTTACATTTGTGGCAATAGTACAGCTCTGTTTCATCAAGTTCTTCCAGGTCAGTGAAACTACGTAAGCAGTCTAATAATAAAATAAAAAGAACAAAATGTTGTCATTAATCTCAGCAGCAAATAGAAATACTAATAGAATCTAACACTGCCAAAGAACCTGTCTAATGAGTCATGAGAAATTACCACGCAAGGTGCAGGTTGGTCCTGGCTCCTGGTCCTTACTTCTCTTTTGTCTGAACTGGCTAGGAATGTCCAAAGACAAATCTGTAAGAAGACAAATGTTCGGATGTCATTTATCATCAGGTTTTATCTTGCTTTACTCATCTCACCCAATATAACAGGATTTGCATTTCTTCATTCACTTTGTCACATAAAGCAAGAATCTATACATGTACTGTCACATTTAAATTCAGGCTTTGCTAGATCACAGAATTACTGGTAATCTTTCTTTCTTTAACGTGTTGTGAACATTTATTCAGTCACAAAAGTTGCTTTACCAAGAAATGGATCAAACTTTCGAGATTCTGTCCCACATATCAGGCAGTTGACCTCATTCTGAAGTATTCCGCCAAAAATTGAAGTGACAACACTGGCAGTCCCATTTCTGTGAAGAGTCAAACATCAAACAAAGCAGGTTTAATAAATAAATGTGCATACATTCAAATATTCTGGTGATCAATCAACACAAAAGAATATGAATATGTAAAGAGCCGAACATATTCTAGACCCAATCAGTGTTTACTGACTAAAAAAGGGGTACATTTTTTGAAAATGTACTCAAGTAACTCATCTGTGGCTGTGCTCATTACAACGACAAAGTTCTAACTACATTGCTTATAATAAAAAATAAAACTAGAAAAAATAAGACGCTTGGGTTTTGACAGCTGCCTGCATGACTACTGCACTTCATAGGTTTCAATATAAATTAAGCTGGGAAAGAGCAGAAAACACAAAAAAAGTGACAAAACTAAAATAATTGTAAAGTTGAATGGACTTGCATGCAGCATTTGCCCTCTGCCGTGGAGAGTCTGACGCCATCCTGAGGTGAGACCGGGAGCGACGACCCGTTACGACTGTACTGCAGCTCTCTGTGGAGGTGGTCCAGCAGGTAGCGCATGAACTCGTGGGCGTCCTGCTGCTGATAACCCCTGGACACAAAAAACACATGCTTATAACATGCTTGTTATAAGGAACTTAATTCTGCCACACCTATGTACAATGTGGGCTTACCTGAAACTTGGCATGATTTTCCATATGGCATAAAATAAGGAGTCTGGACTGAAGGCAGTCTGACTGCCCTGCCACAGCGAACAAAGGGTTTTCCTGAACTCCTCCACTAACGACCTGTTTAACACAGAGCAAACCTGTCAACACGCTGCATTAACTGGTGCAGTCAGAATCTAAAGAGCATCTAATACTCTGACATTATGCAATATAAACTCATGTTTTCTTTTCTGGTCAGTCATTCTATCCCACTCTGTGATATTGAGTAGTGCACTTTGAGTTTGGTTGTCCGGAGCCTAATAAAAGATTTCTGAGGATTGTCTTCTAATTTCACACTTGCTGAAATGAATTTCAGATCAATGCACTCAGCCCATGAACCTCCCTCCTTCAGAAGAGGACCTTACACACTGTTGTCCCCTTGGCTGCGGGTGTGGTACATCCTTCTTCCTGCTGTCTTACCACTGCGGAGAGCTACCGCGGGCAACTCCTTGAAATAACAGCTGAACTGCTCGATGTTGCTGTTGAAAAAAAAACGCACATTTAGTGAAGAGTTCCACACTAGAGATTTTCTAAATTTGTTACATATGGGAATAACCATTAACAACTGAGTAAACAGTTAATATAAGAAATATATTTGCCTTAACTTTGCTGAATTATCTAACAGCCGTTGATGCAGAGTGTCAAAGTAAATTTACTCTAAACTATGATGTGATGTTTCTTTCTTTTTTTTTTTAATCTATTTGTTTATCTTTAAAAATATTAATAAATAATGAAGAAGGTGAAAAGAAAGATTTTGCAGATTTTATTTTATAGACAATGATGTGGGGAAACTACACTGATGATAAATTAACATTAATGTGTAATGTGGCAACCAAAAAGCCATTGCAAAGATAATATACATGTAACAAAGACAAATGTATATTCACAGTATTGAATACTGTCATGAATTACTTTAAGTTTCAGATTTAGATTGTTTACACCATTTTTAAATAAATGGAAACTAATTGGTGCCAGAAAAGTAAGAAACCAGATATTTTTTACTCCATCACATGCTTTGGCAAATAGTTAGCAGTAATATCAGATGTTCTTCATATAAAGCAAACGTAGACACATCAGTATAATCCTCAGTTTGGAACTGTGTTAGTTGGAAAGTCTGTTTTTTTTTTTTTTACTGTGTCCTGTCTCCAAGCTGCCTGTGTAATAATCCCCCTGACTGTGCCCCAGACTGAATTAATAAAGGGTGACTGGTCGTGGGGCCCAGGGTCTACGGGAGCGGAGGAACTGAACCAAGCTGCCAACCCAGTTCACCATGAATGCAACCTCATCCTCAGTGCCTCACCTGAGCGACTGCAGAATGGCGTTCATGAAGCACGTGTTGCCCAAGTTCCGCAGGCCTGTGGCACCTAAAGCTGCCACGTCCTGGCAGAGACAAGTGACACACACTAACATGTTTATTATATATAAACTTTATATAAGCTTTAAACGAATATTTAAAGATATCTATATAGTCAGTTTGTGCAGAGGTCTGCAAAGGCTGCTGTGACTTATTTCACTGAGGAACTATGTAAATACAGTCTAATGAAAGGGAAATCTGACCAAAGCTGGTATAAGTGTTGTTAGCAGAGGCACACAGTTGTGTTAGGGCACAAATGTAAAGCAGCTGCAACTTGACTACTTTATAAATAAGAAACAATCATAATATTTACTTTAACTTACATTGTCTTTTAACAGTTTGCTGTCTGGAGCTGGACTTTCCTGGAGTTTTCTTTTCCTCTGTCTGTCACCCATCAAAGCTGAGCTGGATGAGAGAAAAACATTTAATCTGGGTACCGATCTTTTATTGAACATGTTTTATGTTTCTGAAACAAACACCATTAATATATCAAAACAAATCCTCCATTAAAAATGATTGTCGAGGCAACAAACATATATTGAGACTTGGTTCTTGAGATTGGTACTTACTTTTCTAAACTCTGAAGATGCTCCCTCACCTTCTGCACATGCCCAAGTTTAGTGTCATTGACAACAAATTCATCACATCTGTAACTATAAAAGCCACATTAGAAAAGACACATGCATGTTTGAAAACAGAACAAACTTACAGAGGATTGAACCCAGGAGAATCTCAGATTAGAAACACAGTCATCATTAATATGTGTGTTTAACTGTTGTAGCATTTACCACTGAACCACAGGTGTACATGCACAGTTTTAGTGGCATGTAACCTAAGAATGTAGGATCACTTGCAAAGCAACAGATTAAAGAAGGTTGTTCAAAACATTTGGTTCCCATTACCATGGAATCAGAATGCTTTGACTGATAAAGGTTTTAATGACCGTACTTTTGCAGGGCCCCACGGTGAGCCACAGATTGTACACAAAGATAGTTTGGTTTTGAAGGAAACTCACCAAAACACACTGAAGTTGCTGCAGTCCATGCAGACAGAGTGATGGGATTTCTCTTTTTCCTGTTTCTCGACCTTCCTTTGACTGTTGCTGAGAACTTGAGTGTCTTCAAAGTGCTTCTTTGCATGTCCATTGACATATCTAGATAAAAGAGAAGTTATTTTAGAGTGCAAACATCAACAGAGGTCAGCCTAAGTTGCTTCTTAACTTCCAAATTTGTAATATGTTTGTGCCTTGAATTTAGCACACTTTAGCATCAGTTTGTCTTAAAAAAAAAAAAGAATTTGATCCTTGATCTCTGAAAAACCCATAAGGCTGTGTATGAACACTTTATGGTATTAATGGTATTTTGTATTTTCAGTTTAAAAACCATTTCTTAAATTCAGACTTCCATCCCTTGTCCAAATAAAAACGGCAACTGGAAATGACACATATGATGCCCTGTATTGGTTTGGCTTACGAAGCCCAGGAGCAAAAAGTCCTGGGGGAAAAAAAAGAAACTGAACAACAGCCAGTAAACTGTTGGGACTTACATTACCATGTTTTGAATGCATATACAAGGACTGAGTCATAATTAGGGCAAGGATCACAGTGGGTGATGAGGTGTCCCCTCCCTCCCAACTCATGTACAAAAATACTCAAACATGTCCTTTACTTCAAAAGCTGTGAGTTTTAACCTGCAAAAAAGCAGTATCTCTATCTAGCTGGTCTGGATCAAACGTCTACCACTGTCAATCCAGAGCTCCTAAAGGTGCATAGTAAGTGTTGGTTATGTCTGTTGATGTTTTTGTTATGTTGGAGTGGGATGGTCTCTTTCCTACAGGGACAAATAAAAAACCACTCTATTTAAAGAATCGTAGTTCTTTTCATGAAGGCGTTATTGACTTGCCAGGGTTTAAATAATCCCCAAAAGCAAAAGGACTGAGACGCCAGTATTTGAAGTTACTGAAGTTTCCACTGTGGTGTGTTCAGGGCAGCTTGAGTTGCAGTAAAAACAACAGATGCCATCTCACCTTCCACAGTGGACCGTGGTACACGTGAGGCAAATCCACGGACTTTTATTAGACCTGCAGACTGGAGACAGAACATGAAGCTGGATTAATTGTAAACAAGAGACACGACACTGACGTGACTGTTTTTAATGGATCACTCTTCCTTGTGTCACAGCGACAGCATCGTGTGCATGGTGCAGTATCTGCCCTGCTTGGCATAAAGGAGACAGGAGACAAAGACACAGACAGGTGGGATTCAGTGTGACAGACTCACCGTTGCAGCACCAGGAGGACGGCGCCCCGTGAGGGAACCCGGGTGAATCCACAGCGCAGCTCACGTTCGAGCTCAGATGAGGGCACTCCATCGGTCCACAGCGGTGAACGAGCCGGCTGACGTTACCCAACACCGCCGCACCGGGGACCAGGCTAACAATAGGTGGCCAATTAACCTAAACTAGCTAGCTAACGTTAGCCGAACAAGTACTTTATCGTAGCGGTCGCACGTTTTTCTGCCTCTGCTCAAGCTAACACGTCTGGTCGCTGCCGGATCTCCTGCAGTTTCTCAGAGAACGGAAGTTTAAATATATCTCACCCCGACATGTTTGAAATAAAGCAGCATCGTTATCTGTGGTGTGTAGGGTGCAGGATAACTGCTGGCGTTGGTCACAAACAAATGGAAATAACTTGAGGAAGTGACGTAGGGTCTGCCGGCTCGACCAAGCACCAACCGAAGGTGACAGAGTTTCCTTGAGCGTTATCCCAGATCACTTCCGGCTTCGTTTTTCCACTCAGTAACACCGTGAGTTCTTCATATCCGTTTCGGTTCTGTGGTCTTTTAAGTGCATACCCGCTGGCATCACGAGGAGCCTATCTTATTCACCAAACTCAGCCATACTGTGAGACTCCTATGTTTGGTACGCATGCGATGTCGCTTCCTTGTTTCAGGCCAGCTTCCGGCATGTACAGCAGTTCAATCATCGGTGGAACAACGTCACCTTTATATAACACGTTAAGATACATTTGACATAACGCTGAATTGTAATTATAAAAGTGCTTTAGCATTCTTTTACTTTGTTTCAGTGGTGGCAGGTAAGTACAGTTTATTCACGTCCTGGACCTCAATGTGTTAAGATGTAAACTTTATTACTGTTCTTTGATGAAACGTATGAATGCTGGTTTTAACATCTCGTTTATTTCCATACTCTACATTCATGGGTTGAACAAGAGTCCATACTTATCGTTCTTTTACTAGTCAGATGAAGAAATGACTTGCTGTGCTTTGTCTCATTTGTTGTGCTGTTACTTATTCTTATTCGTGTCTGAATATTAGTCTGTTTATATTGTTTATATGTGTTGACTATAACAAGTCATTTTATTTTAAAGTTGCCATTTTAAAAAGCTGGCCAGGGACAACAGATGGAAATTAGCCCATTAGGCTAACTCTAGCTCATTTACAGCCATTTTGCTGTTGATTAATGAGCGTTGTCCCTGTCAAATAAACAAATAGATGAAATCAATGAAACATGGCTCACAGTGCCACCCAGTGTCTCAAACCATGTCGGACCTTGCAGGGCCAATACTTGGTCAACCGTTTTTTGTTGTTTCTGCATCATCAGCCAGCAGCAACAGTTGGAATCTGGAAAGCTGCACTCATTTTCATCTGCTGAAGCTATGCACCAAAAGCACAACTTCATCTATCAATCATAGATGTCTTCCGACCTCTCCTGTGCCTCCATGTCCTCAGACATGGTTGCTTCAGCTCCGCCTGTTTCAATACTGGCCACCTAAAGGCACATGTCATCACAGTATCTGCCATTTTAAATTTGTTGGTCAAATTGAAAAGTATTTTGCTATCCACACCTAGTACTTTGATGAACTAGTACGTAGGCAATCGACTACTAATTTTGCGCATCTGATCTTAAGAAACCGATGATGTGGGATTGTGAGGTGTTTTTGTTGAATGACAGCTCTGTGGCATGGAGTTTTTTTTGTTTTTGTTAAAAAGGAGCTAGAATATAACTAGCTTGGACATAGTCAAATCTGTACCAAACTTCACTTCTTCATGGCGTGAACATATCTCTGTGACAATACTGAGTCGCAATCACAGCACCACTTAGTGGCAACAGGAAATGACTGCGTTAACCTTTTGACGCAAGTTTTGTTAAAATTATAACTAGACTCCACAAATTCATATCTCTACAACATTTCACATGTTTGATGAGAGTTCTGCCTGGAAGTAAATTGGAATTATTTTAGAACTATAAAAGAATGATAAAACATGTATTTATTAGATATTTAGACCACCTACAGTGAATTAAACTCTAGTAGTATATGCCCCTCAAAATAAAACAGTGTTGTTTTTTATCTCAAAATAATACATTGTAGTTTTTATTCTGAAATATTTTTGACTCATTTTTACACCAAATAAAAAGCATGAGCATCAAAGTTTAATGATTTAAGGCCACATTGTACATAGTACGATAAAAAAGAAAAACATTTGACATTTATGTTCAGATCTTCACAGCCCAAAACAACAGATTAACAAAGTAAAGGTTAGTGTGTAGTGTGCACCTCTGTACAAAAAAAGCTGGACAAAAGCAGAACTAAATATATGTGTTAGGTTTTGAATGGGCTTTTTTAGCGAATGGTTGAGCCAGTTATATTTTGGAAACACAGCAGTGATAGGGAGATCACATAGTTAAAAACATTTCAGTTAACAATGCACAGGATGATGAGAGTCAGAATTTGAAATAATGTGACTTCTCTTCTATCAGACTAACTTGTAATGGACCTCTTTTGACTGAACAATGGTTGTCTTTATTTTATGGCTGCAATTCACAATTCATATAATTTCTCAGTTAATCGTTTTCTCTATGAAATTTAAGAAATTGGTGAAGTTTTCTTGAATTGCTCGTTTTGTCCAACCAAGAGTGTAAAACCTTTCTTTTTCAGTTTGAAAAACTAGTTCAGCCATTAATTCATTATTAAAATGGTTGCTGATTCTGTTTGTGAATTAATTTACATTGTTTCAACTCTATTTTTATTCTGATCACATTCAGACTAAACAGATTTACTTTGTATTACTTAATTAAAGCATGTGATAGTTGAGGGGAAACAAAACACAACATTGAACAAAACTAATGGCTATTTGCATGTCAGTAAAAAAATGAATGATCAAACTTAAATGTAATGATTGAAAGTTGATATGTTTGTCTTTAAGACCACCAGTGTTAAAAGACTAAACCAATCTGGTAAAAACTCCACATGTTGTAATGGATGATATCGATCATATCAATGATATCTATTCCATTTCAATTGCCTGTTCTCGAAGAGGTGCATCAGGCTTGGGTTCATTACTCTTTCGTCCTCCATTCTTCTTGGAGCTCTTTTTCCTGAACAAAAACAGTTAGTATGTAGATAATTAAAAGAGAGTGGCATTAACTGTCAGCATTCTTTATGTGCTAAAGACAAAGAAAAATGGTCTTACTTTGATTTAACTGTCAAGACGATCACAGGTATAATGATAGAGAGGATAATGACAGCAAGCAAAACTCCGCAGATGATCGCTGTCAAAGAGGACAACAGTGTAATAGATGAAGATTTATGTTAACAAATCACATACTAAATAATAAATAAACTACATAACACAATGATTGCAGAATGTTTTAACCAGTTAGAACGTCATGTATAATCTATCAAAATAAATGAAAACTAAACCTCTTTTGGGCACATTGTCCCTTTTACAATGAGAAAATAAGAAAATAAAAATTGCAGCTTGTTGCAGCTTCTGAATAAATAGATAAATTCCACCAGTCAAATCTGTACCAAAACATGCAAAAAAATGCAACCATTGTTTGGACTCACCAATAGGAGTGTCTGGCTCATCCTCCTCCAATTCCTCACCATCATCTTTGAACCAAGACAATTACCATAAACATGTTTAAATTTTTTTCATGGCACTTTTATGACTCTTTTTATTTGACATAGTGATATATCATCAGCCACTGTGTACAAAAGAGGAAAATTTACACTCACCGTGGATTCCATCACATGTCTTATTGCAGCTTTCCATGGAGAAAAATCGGTTTCCGTTTCCAATGCAACCAGTCCACTGGAATTTTTTGCATTTGTCATGAATGGAATCATAGTAGTATCTCAAAAGCTGATTTTTACATTGACCTGAGGCCTTTTTTAAGTGGCAAGCCTTAGATTCTGTGAAGAGAAAACATCTCCATTATTATTAAAATCATTAGATCAGCCACAGCTATGACTACAGTTTGCACATGATCAACTATCACACAATCAGAGTGGTAGATGAGTCAAACTTTATCAAGCAGGCTGTAAAAGCCCAGGGTGTGGTCTTTCATGCTTGTCTATGAGTCCTTCTCTTTCACCACTTGGTGGCGTATGGCTAATACTCAGCTTTTCCTACAGCCTCAGAAAAATTACAGAAATTAAATGTGAAGAAACGAAGGAAAAGAAACACAAACATTTTTGGGTTAATTAAATTGACACACAAAAGAGGTTAGATATTGATCATTTAGTTGTTTTTCAATAATATGAAATACTCTTTCAATGTTAACAATCTCTCGCGCTCTTTCTTTCTCTTTTCTGTCTCTGTCCCTCCTCCTCTCTCTCGGTCAAGATAGACGAGACGTGAAGGTGATGTGTCGTTTCCTTTCATGGTCTTTTAGGTCATAAAACTCATTTGCTGCTGTTCATGTTCCAAAGTCCTCAGAAACAAGCCGTGGTGAGGGATGGACTTTTTTGTTTTCAGTCTGGGTTCATCTACTTTTAGGTAGTTCTTCAATCAATCAATCAAAATGTATTTGTATAGCCTATATTAAAAAATCTAAATTTGTGTCATACAGCTAAACAATGTGCAATACCCTCTGCAGAAACCTCATCGAGAGTTGAATGTGAGGGATCCCTCTTCAGGACGGACAGAAGTGCACATCAAGATAATATTTACAACATTCATGACAAGAGACAGTGTGCATATTACACCTGAGTATTATCGGTTAAGCAAAATGAATGATTACATTTGACACACGTATATTCAGTATGAATTCATTAAACGATCTTACCATCAATGGGGTAGATATTATCTACATTGGCAGAGCAGTTTCTCATGCACTCTCGTTCATTTTCAAACCGGTTGTTGTTTCCACCGCTGCCTGAGTAAATGAAGGGCTCACACTGATCCTTCTCGGGATTATAAAAGACAGAGTGAATGAAGGTTTGGCCATCACCTTCAACTGGGGGCAACTGACAGAAATCTGTTGGACGATAAGACAAACTGCGAGTTAGAGACATTTTATTTGCACAACGTCTACAAGGATGCTTTGGTTTTTCAAGCATTTAATAAAGCCTACAATATTTAGGTGTGAGGTAGAGCTGGATAATCACAAGAATAAGGTGGTGAAGTGACCACTGGTCAGTTACTGTATTCATATGCTTCAGTAGAAAGCCTCAACAGATACTGTTTGACATATCTAATGCTTAACTAACCTCATCACCAGCGATCCACTCCCTCATTTTATGACAGCAATAAAAACTCATTTTTTCAGTTCCCCCCTCTTTACACATTTCACAGAAGGGAAGTGGTTTCATATGATTCTTTTACCCAAAATGCAACTGATTTTATAAGGAAGTAACCAACTGGCTTATTTGCTAAAAATCTGGACCTTCCCAATAATTTATGTATGTTTGTGTGGTTAAAGAAGCTGCATGTTGACATTGTTTTAGTCTCGTCACTCTCAGACAGAAATGATCTCAGTGTTTAAAAGTTTGGAATTACAGAGGGAGGAATCGTCCAGTCAGCTTAGTTCAATCGTTTGCAGTGTGTAAATAATATTTCCAGGAGAGTAAAGACCATGTTTTCTTTCCTCTTTTTTTTTTGGTCCAAGCTAAAGACAATCATTGTTGGCTTCAGTTGCAAGTTACAACATGAAGAGAAATTCAGGGAAAAGGTAAATTACAATTATATCCTGCTGAGAGATGCAGTCTAGACTTGTTTAATGAACAGAAACTTTATTTCTATCAATTCTATTAACTTCGAATGTAACAGGATGTGTCTCTATTGAGCCCAATGTGACAGAAAGATATAGGCGCCAATGTAACCGCCATGTTGCCCTGACGGGGCTGAAGGTGACGCTTTGTCTCCTTGATTTACTTTAAGCAAAACTAGAACATTACGTATAACTGAAAGACATTAATTAATAATGAAATATTTACACCACAATACTTTCGCAATTCTTTTAAACTGCTATTTAAAAAAAAGCTGCGATACAGAAGGCTGATGCGTTGACTGTGTGCTGATAGTGAGGCCTGTTCTGAAAATGAAATCTTCAATAAACTGAGTTTTGGTCATGTTAAAAAAAAAGAACCCAAAAAAAAAACGAAGGAAGCACTTACCTGGGGGGACTGAATGACTGAAATGGATTGCGGCAAAAGCGATCCCCAGCAGCAGCAGGTGCTTCATCTTGCTTCTCGTCTCAGTCCTGTCTGTCCTGGAGTGACGGTTGTAAACTACAGTGGGAGTGGGTTATCGTCTCTGACCTTTGAACAGTCATTTCCTTCCACCCTCAGTTGAAACAACTGTCAGTGGCTAGAACAGACATCTTCCCCTTTTTCTTACCTTGACCATAAGGTCGCAGTTTAGAACTTAGAACAGGCTCCATATTCACTTATGTAGCCTGTTAGTTTATCTATTCATCTCCACTTTGAGCGATCAAAGGCTCCAGGTAAACACCAATTAAACAGCAACAACTGACAGGTCGACTGACAAATATATCTGTTTATAGAGTGGCCACGTTATCTTTGTGTTTTTTTTGGAACACATTGAGACTGTATGCATTAAAACCAAATTGACGGCAAGTGCGACCCAAGCCTTCAGTGTTCTACTACAAGAGAGCTTTATAGTGAATTCAGATCTGCCTGTCATAGTATTACCTTGTGTAAGTTGTCCTCTTTTTTTCCGACTTCCTTTACTCCTACTTAGGTGTGTTTTAAGATTTATAAAAAATGTTTACAAGGAATAACAAGCTAAATAGTCCATTCTTAGTCCATGTGCACCACGGGTCTCTGGTTTCTACATCACACTTGTAAGATGTCCACGATTGACTTGTGAAGTTACAAAACCTAAACACTTTCAAATTTAAACTGAAAAAACATGGGGTGTACACTATTATTTTATTATTATTTCATCATTTCATTTCCCCCTTTAGCTTAATATCGCCATCTTTGTCTGTTAATGATGTGCCCTAAATAAAAATTGTACTGTTTCATTTTATTGTATTCTTTGGTTATATGAAGAGAAAATGAAAGGCCTTGGTTGTATAGGCATTTTATTGAGCCATAGGCACAAGTTTAAACCCACTCTGTGCCAACAGCTATTGTATTGTTATGAGGACACAATCAGCTTTTCAGCATTTATCTTAGCGATGTCTAAATATAACAGAAAGGGAGGGAAACTATTTACACCAGAACTGTGTAGCCCATAGACTGTAGCTAACAACAACAATATAACAACAAAATGTATGCATCACCACTTGGTGGCTGGCCACAGTATACATCATAAACCCAGCCTCCACCATATTAGTGGATGGGACATGTACCAATGTTGAAAGCACACGTCAAATATATTTTTCTCAATGACGATTTCTGTCATTTTAGGTAGGCCCTAGCACACGTACAATCTGAATCTAGCTGCAGACAAACTTTTCAAGTCCAAGTTGCTGTGAAGACAGGTGAACGCAGCTCCAGAGAAGGATATTTAAGGACATTTATGCTAAAAACATGATTTAAATGACGCTGTTTCTAATCAAATTTGAATGTCGGGGCTTACGGACAGCTGGATGACACCACACAAGCAGTATGGAGGCATTTTATGTTTTCTTCTGTTTTTTTGTTTTTTTTACGTTTAATTAATTGGTCACCATTTAAAAGGGTTTTGCGGACTCAAACACTTCATCCACCCCTCCATTGGAATTGTGGTGAGTAGTTTTTCATTTCTGGGTGAAGTGTCCCTGTAATAGAAAAGTGGCAGTGAAGAATCAGTATATGAAATGTGCACAAACACCATCATATTCATCTTTTGGTGGCTCCATGTGTTTAGATGGGGTTATTATAAGAGCCACTATAAAGTGAAGGCTCCTTGTCAGTGACACCGGCTCAGCGTGTCGGTGGATCTGAACCCGGGGCTAAATGAGGGACTCGAGTGCGGTGGAGCTGTCAGTCACTCTCCGGTGAGCAGGGGATGACTGTGGAGGCTGGGTTTTTGTTGTTGTGGCTCTGACGTCAGTGCGAGCTACAACCAAGCCGACAACATGAGTATAAAAGCCGGTTCGAGGGCTGGAAACCCTCCCGCTCTCCTGCTCTGCACCGGGGCGAACATCAGGCTGCCACACGAGGGTGCGCTGAGAGAACCGACATGAAGTCTGTGAGCGTCTCATCCATCGTGTTACTGCAGCTGACTCTCTGCTCTGTGCTGCACGGTAAGTAATCTGACGGGTGCATGAAGTTGCCTGGTAAGAAACTTCATATGCAATTTAAGATTCGTGTAAAGAAAAAATGGCTCCAGCACTTGCAGGAGGGATTATTCCTGGCAGGTGTCTCCATCCACCTGCTCATATGTTTTCTGAGGTATCAGGATGACGTGTCTGTGATCAAAACTATTGATGTTTATTTCTATTTTCTGTTCATCTATAAAATGCCAAAAATAAATATAAAAACAATGTTTCACTTTATCCTGTTGCATATATAAAGTTGCTTCATTACTTTTATAAATGCACTAAGATTTTTGTTCTTCTTGTTTCAGCTGCCAAATGGACATACAGTGGTAAGTCTCATCATTTTCTTTCAATTCAGTTTGTCAGTTGTGCACAGAAAAAAAGAAAATGTGTTCAGATTAAAGTTACTAATTGTAATTGGTCCATATTTCTATTGCACTTTTCTAGTGATGACCACTCAGAGCTCTTTTACAGAACCGTTTTTACAATTCATCCACTCAGTGCATGTGCTGCATTTTCTCTACCGTACATCACACACAATGACAGCACAGCCGTCTGGGACAATTTGGGGTTTTGCATCTTGCCCAAGGACACTCCGGCTTATGGAATAGGGGAGATGGGAATCAAACCCCGGACTTTTTGGTTAGTGGACCACTTGCTCTATCTCCTAAGCTACAGCTGCCCAACATTTGACTTTTATTGGTATAAATTGCTAAATTTCAGTTGAACAAACTCTATTAATTTATGAGTTACTGATTGAAGTATTTTGTATTGAACAATTTTCTTTTTTCAGTGTGGATCATATTAACAGAAGAAATAGAAATATTTCTTACATCCACCTATGATGCATGCCTTTCCAGTTCACATGCACTTGTTGCCTAGTGTCCCGGTCACTCACTGTGGTTTTCCACCCCTAAACCATGCAGCATTAACTAATTCAGTGTTAGAATTCAATTTGATTCAACTCTGTTAGGCAATGACTGACTCAGAGATTTTTCGTCTTGCCCCCCCCCACAGCCGTACGTTGAGCTGACACTGCTGATGGACTGCACCATCAAATCAAGTGTTTGCTTATCAAAGGGAGAAGACAAACCCTCTGTCGCCCCTCTATGATGCCCTAAGACCTCTAGTGCTGACAGCCCCACTGTCACCTCATGTAATTGTAGAGGTCATTATACCGACTCTGCAATTACAACATTTCATGAGTGGCTGACTGCCCTTGTCTCCTGTCTTAAGGCCCATACGCAGTGACTTCTTGAACTTTGACAATCTCTTACATAAACTGTGCTCAGAGCGTGACCTCTTGTCTTAGCTCCTTAAAAAAAGTCTGTTGCATTTAGGGACAGGAAGTTTATACCAATAAGTTGGCAGGTCCAGAAAATTGTTTTAAAAATAATTTTTCATCCTATTTTCTGTTTTTGGATGATTACAGTATTTTGAATGTTACAGTCATTGCTTAAAGCTACTGTCCTCTATTTTTAAATGCATTTATGAGTTTAATGTGTTATTTCTCTGCACTGTACTTTATGTTCAAATACTAACAGTTATAGGAAATTATACGTGTTTAATTCAGTCCTCTGAAAGCTGATCCACGAGATTATTTTTTATTATTGCAGCAGCTGAACTTTAATAAGGACAAATAGAACATTGTAGATACACAGTCGTTCATCTCCGACCTGTGGAACTTTAGAGAAATTGAACAACACCTAAACATTTGGAAAAATTAGGAATCACACATAAACATTTATTTTACGTGTGAGTATAGTGGAAAACCTTAATGTGGCAGAATACTTCAGTGACTCATCCTGTACTGAATGAAGGAATACACACCACAATCACACAGTCATGAACCTTAATGACACACAAACTCAGAGTGGAAAGGTTTGTGATGACTAGAGAGGAAAAGAGTTGATTTAATAATAGTTAAAAAAGCCCTCCAGCCTCCTAAGTGCAGCGTGGTGGATTTCACCATCACTTACAATCAAACCCTGGAGAGGCCGTGTCATAGTCAGTTTTCTTGAGGGCTGGTAGCACTTTCAGTTGGGGGGGGGGGCAAGACTGAGTCAGAGGATTTATCTTCACATTGACGCTGCATCCTCTGGCAAAGGACAAGCAGTGACCCTTAAGTTGTGGGTATAAAAAACTATGTTGATGACCATAGTAGTTGTATCACCCTTCTCTACCACAGATGTTATAAATAAATATAAATCTCATTTGACATTCATCTTATGTAGAGAAGCCCCCACACTTTAGAAATTACCCACAGTCATGTGAATTCTACCAAGGACTGCATGGCAAGGGGCCACTGAGGGCCATTGTTAAAGGGCAGGCTGGGTCTAATTAAAAGAGTAAATGAAGTAGACACTGAGTAATTATAGCCATAAGATAAGCCATCTTATCTCCTTATTATGGGGAGCGTTTGCCTGAACTGAACCATGAGTTTTGCTTCAAACAAGTATTCAGTGATTTCACAGCTTCGCTTCATGCCTTTTGGCACGTCTTGTCTGACCCATACAATGGAAACTGACAGCCGGGTCGGGGCATGAGCTTCATGCTGCATCATTCATATGTAACCATGGTCAGCTGGCATATGGTGAATCGTGTTTTTTTTTAGAATGATTCTGGACAGTTAATTATATGCAGAAGGGATGAGAGCTCTTGGACATTTACAGGCCTTTCATGGTGTTTTCTATTCTGCCACACTTCAGTTTTGATGGGTCCATTCATTGCAAACTCTTGTGAACACTGAGCATCTTGTTGGAGAAGCTCAGTATGGATGATGACACTTCACACTGGACAAAAACATCAGAAGTCAGGAGCTTCTGTGATTTTCTTGTCAAATGAATTTAGTATCACAGCTACCATCCCCTCTCTCTCCTCTCTCTTACATTATTCCGAGGCTCATTGTGCCTCGTTGCCTCGGCAGCACACGCCTCTGAGAGACACTGCATGACTTGATTTGCAAATGTGGCCATTTTCGGTGTCCTGTGCTTTACAGAAACCTCTAATTTGGAGAGAGACAGTGTTCTCATTGGCCCTCCCCGCAAACAACAGCCTTGTTCTCACTCTCACTGCTTCAGAAAGGGCCAAGAGCAAAAGCCACGGGCCTCACCCATGCTGCCTTGTACATAGATAATGATACTTCACTTTGATTACAGATAAAATTTTAAGCAGGACAGACCGGGCCTAAGTCCTTTTTTGGAGCCATCCCCTATTTAGTTTCACATTGGGGCATGTGCATTTGCTCTTTTTTCTTTAGAATGCAATGCATAAAAAATAGAATATGTGCAGCGTAGCAGTCGTGTTTATTGGTCATGTTGCTGTTGCAGGGCCAGAAGGAGAGCACCACTGGTCCAAGAATTATCCATTTTGTGGTGGAGCCTTCCAGTCTCCAATAGACATCAAGTCAGATTTGCTGAGGTTCGACCCCAGTTTGCGTCCGATTGAGGTTCAGAACTACAACCTGTCGCCCAATGAGCAGCTCACTCTTGGAAATAATGGACACTCTGGTGAGTTAACAGCATCTTTATTCACATTTTGAAAATTGATCCCCAAAATACAAAACTATAAACAAATATACGTACACAAAATATACAAATAATAAGAAAAGAATAAGAAAGAAATCACCCAGGAAAAAAAATGGATCCCACCCCATCCCCTGAATCTAGGCCACCGATCCCTGCAGAGCATCACTGCCAAAGGTCCTTGAGGTTCCTTTCGTTCCATAGACGTCATCATTCTCCTCTATAAAACCTTTCATATTCACACTACTTTAGATGCACTGTGTACTTTAGCCTCTTCTGACCACACACAAACTAAGCAAACATTATGTTTTGTTTGACTCTGGATCTTAATGTCCTTTAAATCAAGGCCCTCGTCTACATATTCATTAGAGATGGCCCCCGCATAAACGTGGAGGAGTCTGTTCTTTCTGTAGAGACCTAATTTCTGGGTCAACATAAGGAAAATGATAGGAGGATTTTCTCTCTACATCTACCACAGCAATTTTCCATAATCACTCTCTTATTATCTTAACTGTCCTTTCATCCAGAGAACGATCTCCATGTGAAGTCTGGAAAAATATGAGCAGACATTAGTCATCTGCTCTGCATCGACTGGGTCTGATGCACCTTAACAAAAGAAACAAGTTCCAGTTTGATATCTATTCAAAACACACTTTTCAAATCAATTATTGAAAACATAACTCAGATAAGAGTCAAACATGCCCCTCAATCAATCAATCAAATTTTATTTGTGTAAAAAAAATTAGTTTTGAATGAATATGATTCCTTCTGCTTTGTTTGACACTCAGTCAGAGAAACGTCAGGTAAGCTACAAATAACAACTGGTTTGATTTGTTTCTTAGATTTTACTTTAATCACACTGTACAAATTGCCACGTGTGAGCACTTTCAGTGACGGCTGCCGTGTCGCTGAGCGCACATGTACATGTAATGTCTGCCTTGTGTTGGTGAAGATTATACTGTTATAATGTCTGTGTAAGTAAAGTGTACAGACTGTATAAACCAGACAAATGCTCATTATTTGTGTCTGATGGACCTCAACGCCACAAGCTGAGCAGCGTCTTCAGTGACGTCTGTCTGAAATAAGCTGACAAAGGTTTTTCACTTGTAAACATTCGTCACACACTGACGAACATGTTGAAAGTGCGTCACTCCACCAGTGTGCCTTAAACGTAGCCGCACTGCTTTTACCAGCATCATCACTTTCGCTAAAGTTTTGAATTAAATAAATAAAGGATGTAGCTGATGTTTCTTGATCCCCTGATGTCAAGTGAAGTAACCTCCACCCTACTCTTATGTGTGTGCTTGTGTCTGTCATCTTTTGATCCACAGTGCAGATCTCCCTGCCCTCTAAGATGCACATCTCCAGCCTGCCGCATCGTTACACCGCAGCTCAACTGCACTTCCACTGGGGCTCCTCCGGCCGACCTGCTGGATCTGAACACATGGTGAACAGTCGACAGTACGCAGCCGAGGTGAACAAACCTACCTACCTCCTTCTGTGTTTAAGAGAGTAAATAACCAGGAGGTAAATACTCCAGGTCTGCCCCCTCGTACATTTTCAAGGTCATTTATCAGTCAATCAATCAAACTTTATTTGGGCAGTTCAAAGCCAAAAAAAACATTATTAAACAACTCCACAGCTTCACCATCACAACAATAAGATGTTGTTTACAAGTTCATGTATAATATTAATAATCTATAATATATATTTTAAGTTTGATAGATAATACTCTGGTGCGATTTAGCAGAAGTCCATTTTCATTGATGATACGTGCATATATTTTTATATTAATGACATTTTGAATATTAAAATTATAATTTGGTATTTATATACTGTAATATTTCAACCACTGGCAGAAAGTGAATGAAAGGTTAGTCATCTCCATTTGAAGTTAGCTCAGTCCATTTATTCAAATAGATATGACAGCATCTCTGGCTCCAGACAGATGATTTAATACCTAATGACTTAAACGGGTGACTTTTGACTGGCAGAGAAATCAGAGCCACTGACTCACAGACACTGTTTAAGCTGAGGGAACTCTCTGAAACTCTGCATCTGCAGTTTCCAGCCTCCCCACACTGGCAGACGTTCAGTTTGTAATCCACCCGTCAGACAATGTCAGAGAATGCTTATTGTGCATCTTCCACTGTAAAGTACAATTATATAAAATACATTCTAGTTAAAGAGACTTTCTAAAGAAAGTTTTTGACAATAAACACATTGTGAGTCATTAAAATCGTATTTATTGAGAAGTGTTAAGCCTGTTTTTCTTTTAAATTAATTGTAGATTCAATTTACCAATCAAATTAGCAGGTTTGGTCAATTAGTCGCCCACATTAAAAGACACAGACTTGATTTCAGTCTGGCTCATTGTGTATTATATGTCAGTGTGACTTTTGTTTGAAGGGTTTAAAGGGATTATACCAGACTATTACACGCTTTGGTTTTCAACTACCTCTGGAAAGGAGTGGCTGTTTGTTCTATTCTATGTGTCAGGCTCTGTGAGCAGTTTTCACTCACTTTTTTTGTCTTTTAACTTTTCTTCTTTTAATTACAACAGAAGTTTGACTGTACCTGAAGTCAAGAGTGTGTTATGATATAAATAAAAATAGGAGTTTCTGTATTTGTAATTTGGTATCATTTGAATGAGAAGCAGCTGTGATTGCTTTTGTGCAGCTGAGCCACACGTGAGGTTCAGTGGTTTGACCTGAGTTTCTGAGTGGACACATCGAGGGCGCGGATCGCTTCATGTGTCTCCAGACTACAGAACCGCATTTCCTTGATGACATGTTGTCGAGGGATGTGATGGCAGGAAGTTGAACTTTACCCAAAAATAGTGCAAATGTCTACCTTACCTCCCAAACACTGTGAATAAAGTGTTGTCATATTTGGCTCAGTGCTGTTTACTTATGTGCTGCCTGTAATAGACCACCCACTTAAAAACACCTGCAGGGTTTCTCAGGTGCATTTGTCAAATACTTTTCACAAATATTGTTTCCCATGGCAGTGAACCACTGCGCAAATTTGTTTTTATAACAAGGATATTTAAAAGAAATAGTGATATTGTATAAAGAATTAATCTGGGGCGGCTGTGGCTCAGGGTGTAGAGCGGGTTGTCGATCTCATTCTTCCCTATTCAGCATGCCAAAGTGTCCTTGGGCAAAATACTGAACCAAATTGCTGGATGGCCGTGCTGAAAAGTGCTTGAGGTGGTCATCAAGACTAGGAAAGCACTATATATAAATACAGAATGTTTTTTCTCTTACATGCTCCCTACAACTATACTGCATGGGTCTCATGCAAAAATATATGCAACTTGTTAAATAATACCAGTAAAAACTATATAAATAGAATTACATATTTATGCATGGAGTCTACTAGATTTACTAGTAGCTCTCTTCATGTTTCATTTTATCCCATTTTTCTGGATCGTGTTGTCCTTTTGTGTGTTGTGCGTGTTGTATGTGCCTTTCCTCCCAGTTCATAACATCTTATCCTGCAGGGATCCAATTTCTCGGTATTTGTTGTAGCATTTTACTTTGTAGTTTCCAAAACACAGATTAAAATCACACTCACTTGCATATTTTTTGGGAAATATCAGAGAGAGGAACAATTTAGATTTTTCGACTGTAACTGTACATGCCACTTTATTTTGTTTGCTCCACAGGGTCTTGATTTAGTTCTCTTTTTCTCAACAGATGCATGTGGTCCACTTCAATTCAGACAAGTACCCCAACATGTCTATGGCTGTGGACAAATCTGACGGCCTGGCGGTGCTAGGTGTCCTGATCGAGGTGAGACGTTGCTGACTCAGTGATCTGTGAATAATGTGTGGGGCAGAACCTTCTAACCATGTTTACTGTGCAGGTTGGTGAGTTCAATCCTGCCTTTGACCAGTTCCTGAAGTTCATCAATGGGATTAAATACAGAGGTGAGTCTACACTGATGTTTTCTTTAGCAATGTCTTCTGCAGTTTAGCCACATTAATTAGTAAAGTATTGGTTATGAGCATAAAATATGAAACACTGTCATCACCAGTATTCATCGTTTATATTAAAATCATTGAAAACGTACTCTACACAACTAATTCATATGTCCATTATGGATTTTACTCTGACATAAGTTGTTGTCGAGCGATCATAAAATACTAATATCATTTATTTCACTTGCAGATCAGAGAGTGCAGGTTCCCGGCTTCAACGTCAGAGCGCTTCTGCCTGCACGTTTGGACGAGTATTATCGCTATGATGGGTCACTGACAACTCCTCCATGTTATCCTAGCGTGCTGTGGACACTGTTCAGAAACCACGTGACAATATCTCGGAAACAGGTGCTGCATCAGTTCACTTCTTAAGCACACGCGATACTAGGATAAAAAAGAGACACAGGCTGAATTCATATTTCAGACATCTTAATGTAGTCAGAGCTTTATATTTAAACTTAACTGGAAAAAAAATCTCTTTATGTGCTTTTGTTTTGTTGTGTCTTCCCAGTTTCTGGCCCTGGCAACGGCGCTCTACTCCTCCCATGCCCAGGAGTCAGCCCCTGTGCCCCTGAACGGCAACTACAGGAAACCACAGCACGCGGACAGCCGAGTCGTCCTGGTATCATTTAAACAGGGTAAGTATGGCCTTTAAAAACGGGCTTGCGTTATTGTTGAAGCATGAGTGCAAAGGTCACATACACAGTATAGCCACTGTGCTGCTTTAAAAAATGGATAAAATACATTTTTGATGACATGCGGGAATCGTTTTTCTTTTACAAAACGCAGGGCTGTCATGTGGGCTGCGGCTTGTACATGTACGATAGCACCTGCTTGTGGTTGAGCCTCAATGTTGATGCCAAACTCAATTATGCTTCAAGATGATTGACTCTGGTGAGCCTGTTGCAAAGTAGGCCATCTTTTAAAACAGAACAGATTAACTGTCCTCTGACATACTCAGAATGTCTGCAGCCCTTAAATTTGTCTTTAAAGCCTCACTTTCATGTGGTCGCCTGGTTCAGCACACTGTATGGTATTTAGGTCCATAGAGTGCAATGCTAATGTGCATGTTTTCTTCATTCCTAAGCTTCCCTCTCTGAGCTACTTCTTTTCTAATGGCACATGTTTTTTTGACACAGAAGTGTTGAATCCCTTGCTTCATGAACGGCATTTAGCAGGCTTGTGCTTTTAGTGTATCACTACAGGCTGGGCTGTTGCATGCTGGGCATCAAGACCCAACGTCGTTCCACTGAGTATCCCACACACTGGGATGTCTAACATGCTTTGATTGGCTCTGTGTCTGATGCAGGCAGAGGACTGCATGCTACTCTTACAGTCACGACTCCGCTCACGAGGAAGCAAGTCGTTGAGCAGCTGCTGGTCGGCGATTTAGCGGACCTGGCTGACGAAGGGCTCTATCAGCTCCTACCAAGTGGCTCGGAGAAGCTCCATGCTGGCAAGAAGAAAGACCCCAAGAACCAGCAGAGTCAGACTCTGGCCAAGTCCAAACAATGGACGCTGAATCCATCCCCACGAAAGAAGAGCCAAACCAAACAGTCTGTGGGAAAGTTGGGGTTGGCTGAAGACGCTCTCTGCTACATCTCACTGGAGCAGAGAGTTTTCCATCAGCTCAAACTGTCCCACTCTGAGAACCAGCTGGTTCACACTCTCAGAGATGAAGTCTTCCCTAAACTCAACCTCCAGAGCTACCTGGACTGTAAGTCAGATTTAGCCCTCCCCACCATCAGGCACATTCTGAAAGGACGGCCAACAGACGAGGCGTTTGAGTTGGACCGCTCTCTGACAAAAGCCTTGATGTATCCGAAGACGCCTTATACAGCAACCAAGGAAAGTGTGCCAAAGACAAACTATGGCAGTCTCTCCCCTGCTACTGTTCCCAGGAAACCACACAGCCAGGGCTTTCCACATCCTTGGCTTTTGCCCATGGAGTGGGAAGACTAGAGAGATTCCCGACATAGTTGAGACTTGCATTATGTCACTTTCTGTAGCAGACATCAGTTCTGTACAGTGGATGACAAATCTCCAAGCTATGCCCTGCAAACCTTTGACCAATGTTTCCCACAAAACCTATTTAATATTTAAATTATTCTTTCCAGTAAGTGCACATAATTATAGATGCTATATGAAAAAGAATGTGGTATGAGTTCATTTGCTGAATGTAACTGTAGACTGCGCTGTGTAAGCAGATTCTACAACATTAAGCCAATATCAATAGTGGATTTTTGTCATGGAAATCTGCAAAAGTGAGAAATTGTTTCTCTTTCAGATCCACATCTGTTAAACATAACTTTAGCATAAGATGCTGTAAAATACATTTATAGAAATCCAAGCATATGCTGCGCATGTAACACATGCTGTGGTTTCCTGTAGAAATCATAGCATGTGTTGTCCTGGTATCATAGGATATCCATATGCATCACGCTATAGAACATGTAGTGCACATAATGTCATGGCATGGAACATTTTTAATGTTATACTGTATCCCATCTCAGTTCTATATGATGGTAATTCTGGAGCTAACTAGTGATTATTGCCAAGCACAATATAAAGGTACAGCAAAACCATAAGAATTTGCTAGAGCTTTAAGCGCTTCACATAACATTCCTGTCTTCTCTGACAATTTGTGCGTCTGTTGTACAATTTGTACGGCCATTTACAATAAGTAAACAAGCAGCTACTGTACAGTACATGTGGAACGATTTGCAATAAAAGCATACTTGAATCATATGTGGTAGATTTCCTGCCTCCTGTATTTGTACCTTTCACCATGAACTTAAAGAAATTCTTGTAACTATATTCAAAATGGTTTTTTTTGTCTGACAATGAAGTTCTTTTGCCGCATAAAAAAGCACAGGAAGAGAAACTCACTGTGATATTTATCTTTTATACATTAATCTTCTACATCATCACAGTATGTACGGTTTTGATCGGCACATTTTTAAACAGAAGCAGGTCAGAATAGAAACAGTGTGTGTGTGTGTGTGTGTGTGTGTGAGACCAGATTCACTTTACCTGTTCACTCTTTTTCCCCGAATGGTACAATATCATTCCTCTGAATTTCGTTTTCACCTCCTGTTCTCTCTTTTATCTTTGCTACTCAGCTGATCTTTCTTGGATGGACACTGGTACGTTGCTTTTCTCTTCATTTTCTGTATTTACACTTTTATTTTTGTCACGTATTCGTCTTGAACTTCATCGTAGGCAGCATTAACAGATCCTCCATATGTGATCAGCAAAGTTAGTTTAAAATGAACTTTTCTCTGTTAGCTATAAGAGATTATTGCTCCAATGTACAAATCATGGCTTTAATGATAAAGCTAATCAATTAACAAACTAAATCATTACTGGAATAAATGTGCAGTGTATATTACATAGAGTATCATATAATACAGCACTAGTCATCATTGTAGAGTATAACAACATAACAAACGTTTAAATTTACAACAATAACATTTTCATGAACATTTACAGGTCAACTGAACACATGTAGAAAAACTGTCCACTTATCTTTTCTGTTTCTGTTGCCTCTGTGCTCTGCAGGTTTACTGGTTCCCATTCTGGTGGGCTCTGCACTGGGACTTGTTCTCATTGTCTCTTTAATATGCTGTATATTAAGGCAAATAAGGTAAACAGAGACAACAACACAAAACCAATTGTTGAAATTATGTCCTGTACATAATAACTTTGTTCAGAACTTTTGAATTTGATGTCTGTACAATGACTTAAACACTTTTCCGGGATGTCCATCTCCCTGAAACAGCTGAACTAGTTTAGTGAGGCAATTCTCTGCTGTCCATGACTGATTTTAAGAGGGTGAGATATAAATACAATATAAACTTGGCAATTGGCAGAGGATATTTCCAGAGAATGGTTAACCTCAATTGAACCATGCAGCCAGGGTTTACAAAGGGAATGATGGAGTTTACAGGGGCTGTGTCTACATTAGTTTGCAGTTATAGGAATGTAGACTCACTCGTACCGCTCTTAGTGACAAGTCTTGACAATACCTCGTGTAGATTAAGAGCCCATTTTCTATAATTGTGGTTTCCTATAAAAGATGAGTAGTACCTTGGAGAATATTTTCTCTGGCTGTTTAATTAGAAGAGATTTGACTGTACCTAGTTAAAAATAATTTAAGAGTTTACTGGAGGAATTCATTCTTTTCAGACAAAAGAAGCTTAAAATGTGTGACAGTGACTCACATTTGTGCCCAATAGAAGAGTGATTTTTTTAAAAAGCTAGACAAGAGGATGCACGTCTTGATCTTTTCAGGTCACGTCTGTGCTCAGGAGGAAACACATGCAGGGAAAATGGAAAAAATATATATATATAATGTCCATTACTGCTCAAATAAAACTCTACCTGAAGGAAATTAAAACAAATACAGAAACTCATATGACTCTTTAGGGAAAGAAAGACATTAAAATTAAAAAAGATTGAATGCATTTTTCTAAAAATACTGTACGTACATGCCCGCAATTAAGTCTGACAAGAAGATTTAATCTGAGCTATAATGAGTTTTGGCATATAAGGGGTTTTAATGTTGTCTTAGTTCATACATGGCTAAGCTCGTGTGCCAGTGGAGCATATGGAAGAATTGAGATTTATGGGGGGAAAGAAATATAGTCCTAGTGTTTTAATTTCCTGCAGCAACGTCTTTAACATCTTGCTCAGAAAAATCTTGATTGCAAAACAAACCTCAGATAGAATATCACTCAGAAGAGCCCATAACTCCACCAAGGCCAAATAGTCTCCTTAAATTCAATCATTCTGCAGAAAATTTCACACACTCATAGATATCAGCTCACTAGACATTTTTCTCCTCAAGATCCATGAATTGTTCCCTGGGAAAATGATGGAATGGTTGAAATGGTAAAAAAAAAACAATGCTAAAGAAAAATGTCCTGGATCTGCTCCCTGATAATGATCCGCACCTAAATTAAATGGGTCCTTCCCTGACCCGTACCAAATCCTTTTCATAGTAATCTTGCCAGTTGTTTTTGAGAAATTAAACAGGCAGACAGTGGTGAAAACATCAACTCCTTGACGGAGGCGATGAGAGATAGTTGATGGTCATGAACTAAACTGGCATCTGATAAACTTAATGTAAGGCTGTTGATTACATATGTAAAATCAGTCTCTGGTTCTTTTATTTCTTAGATCTGCTGCTGCACAGGAAAAAGAGAGAGAGAGAGACGAGTTCGGCTCCACAGTGTAGCTCGTCGTCTAGGAACTCCTTTCAAAGAAACTCAGTTGACCGTTGTCCTTTTGCACCACTCACACTGTGTGAAATTATCCCATGGGTCAGTTTGGACGTCTGTGGAGAGATTTAAGGTTTAAGCAGGATCACAATATAAAGTTTGAATGCAGCCCTGAGGTTTTTTGGAAGCACTCTTAATTTTTTCTCAAGCCACAGTCTGGACTTCCTTTGCTGTGTTGTGGCAGGAAGAACATCATAGGTCTTCATGCTGGATGGTTAAAAAGTTGTTTTATGCTGTACGACTACTTCCTTAGAGTAAGAGGAACAGCTTTCCTCTCTAATAACCCTTTATTTACGTGTCATGATGTGGTCAGTTCCTCCGGTAAGGCCTGAAGCTGAACTGGCGAGAAACTTAGGTCAAGTCGGACCGTGGCACCCGTTCCCTTTTGGCGGTACTGGCGTAGTGGAAAGCACAACCACAATCCCAAACAATAGGGGGGCAGCAGACGACAGTCATCCTTGATGGTAGGGTGGCCTGAGAGGGATGGGCTTTACCACATTTCCACCAAGCCTGTACTTAGAGCTGCTCCGTGGATCTCATAATAAAAGGGACTCTCAGCTCGGTGCAAACACAGAAACACACAGCTCCTTCCCTGTGAATGATGCTGAGAGAAGAGAGGCTTTTGTATTTTCAGGCTGCACGTGGGCTGACCCCTGACCCCTGTCCGCCAGTTTGATCACAAGACTTACTCCCCAGCACTGCTTCTCAGTCAGACTATAGCCTGCACACTTACCCTCTACATTGCTTGTTATAACTCTGCTGGACTGGCGTTATGAGATCATGTCACAGAGCTTCCCATGGCCCTTTTTGACATGTTTTCTGTCTATTATATCTGTACATTTCTCTTGGATATTTCTATATGTCCCTGAGTTTATGTTAAGTGTTGCATGCCTGTAGCATAGAACAGTAGTTCCCAAATAAGGCTTTGTCACGAGATGCTTTCAAGAAATCAAATCAAATTCAAAAACTATTAGAAATAGAGTATTTGGACCATAATTGTTACTAAAGTTGAAAATAGTAGTTCAATTTGAAATAAAATGTAACTATGCAAATAACCTTTTATTTTCTTCATTCCCATGTGACTTCTGAGGTGCTTATATCACACAACGACATTGGAACTAATATCCTTCATGGGGTTTAACCACCTTCCAGGAGAGTGGCAGTCCCAAGTCACCGTTATTTTGGGGATCATGGGCTGAAAATTTTGATGACACCCAGCAAGTAAAGACAACATTTTTACTGTCAGCCTGAACATTACATACTTTAGATTAATCGAGCAGTGATAAGTGATCAAATTAGGGTTATTATTGAATGGTAAAGAAAGAGTGGGTAGCTGTTTCTCAGAAATAGCTGGTGCATTGATCCTCCACATTAAAGTGTCACTCACCAGTCCTTCAGCAGAACACATTTCCCCTGCTCATGCTGCTTGAACTTTCACTGTTGATCCCCCATTTGCCATGTTTTAAAAAAAAGAGAAAACAAATGATGCCATTTCATGTGTTAGACCTTTTTGTAGTTGATGTTATTTGTGCCACAATGTCTCTGTGTCTTGTGTAAAAGGGTAAATAACTTGTGTCTCGATGAAATAAAATCACAATTTGGAATAAAATGTCACTGTTCACCTTTTTAGCTTTGAATCATACTAAGATAGCATCTTAAAAATATATATTGTCAGGCCCTCTCTCTCTCTCTCTCTCTCTCTCTAGTAGTGATACAAATTTTTATTTTCATGTCTAACATTGTTTATGTTATTGTCTGTAATTTTACATTTGTATTGTGCACAATGTGTATGAATGTTTGAGTTTTTCTCATATTAATTAAGAATCTAACATTAGAGGTAGTGTAAAGAGTTGAAATTAATCAATTCATGGATTACAGCCATATACTAGTATTTTGACTCTTGCTGCTGTAATACTGCAAATTTCCCCTTTGTGAGACTACTACAGGATTATCTTATTTTATCTTATCTTAAAGCATATATATATATATCCATCCACTGGGGGGCGCTCTGATGTGACTGGCTTTGAATGAACAGCAGTTGTTGAACAGTGCTGCCATCTAGCGGCTGGTTGTTTTTAGTGCAGCAACAGAGGATTCCACTTCCTCACTTCCGGTCAGGAGCGGTGCGGTGTCAGTCAGTAGGTTGTGAGTTGTCTGTAGTTTGCACCTGCAGGTGTGGGTGTGTTGGTCCGGACATGTATCACCAGCCTGTGCTGAAGAACAGGCGCACGCTCCTGGAGCGAGCAGAGAAGTTTGTCTCGGACATTTATTTCACCGACTGTAATCTGAGAGGACGGTAAGACTTCGTGTCTCACACACCGTGGACGCAACGACCAGCGTGTGTCTGTTTACACCTGTGCAAGCCTCTGCAGACAGTTGATTTAGGTCAAACTCGTGCATGTCATGAAAATCACAGTTACACATCTCGCAGCTCGTGTGTGTGCAGATCATCACCAGTTGGACACCAGCCTGCAAGAGAAGAAACATCAGAGCCAACGTTAAATCAACACTGACCTCCTCATGCTTACTGATTCATTTCTAATACTACACTGCAGTGTGTCCACATGATGTCCAACTTTGTCAAGAAGCAAGGCTCCACACGTGGATTCAAACAAAGAAAACCAGAAAGCACAGTGTAAAATCATTTCAAGCATCCATGCACAGTTCCTGAGTCAGTGAGCTGCACATTTAGGCCATTTCCTGTTCACTGCGAGCTCTGTAACTTTAGCACAAGCACACTGAGTTCTTCAAAGAAGGTCAGAAAATAAAAGATTGTCACAAATTGTCATGTTTGTTGTTTCTGTTTGTGAGTTAGTAGTTTCTTTTTAAGACTACTGACAGGAAAGGGGCACTTCAGGGGCCAATTAGATTTCAGCTGAGGCCAGTGCCCCCCTGGATCCGCCCCTGCATGAATTAGATCTGTAAGTTCTGTATTTCCTGCAGACTCTATGGAGACTCTCGTCCACTGGAATCCATCACCTCCTTCCTGTCTCCTAAACGGATTACATTCAGGGAAGCCTCCCAGCAGAACTTTGCACCTTATCGAGTGGGCGACACCTTTGGACCGACGTGAGATTTATCGTCGCACTTTAGCACCCTCATGTCTTTTATTCCCTCAGATCTTGGCGCTAATCCAAACTTGTTGCTTGTTCTAGGTGGTGGACCTGCTGGTTTAAATTGACCCTGAACATCCCTGAGTTGTGGAGAGAGAGAGAGGTTCATCTCCTGTGGGAAAGTGATGGGGAAGCAATGGTGTGGAGAGATGGGGAGCCAGTGCAGGTGATGTAGTAGCAGCTAAAATGACAGTAGATTAGATTAAAGTAGCATTAGTCTAAACTTCGCCCATGTGTAGATTAAATGTCGATGTGTGACACACTGTATGAACTTGCAGGGCTTGACCAAAGAGGGTGAAAAGACGAGTTACATCCTCTCTGCTTGTCTGAAAGATGAAGAACCACACAGGTCAGTGAAGTAAAAGACGAGTTCAGTGCTACTTCTGTAACCAACATGACTTATTGAATGTTTGGACACCTCACCTTAAAGTTGACTTTTTCTCTAGTGTGAGCCTTTATGTAGAGATGGCCTGTAACGGGCTTTTCGGAGCTGGTCAGGGCTCCATGATTGCAGCCCCGGACCCGAACAGGAAGTTTTCCGTGCAGAGAGCTGAACTGGTGATATTTAACCGAGACGTGAGGGAGCTGCTGACTGACTTTGAGATGCTTATCGACATTGTGAAGGTAATACACGACACAAAACGGTGCATGACACACTCTCTGAGAATGGAATTGAAGTAAGGCAAAACATGATTCCTGTGGATTGTTGACTCTTCCTCTGCAGGAACTAGGAGAGGGCAAGCAGCGAGGCTACCAGGCTCTGTTCACAGTGAATGAGATGGTGAACCTGTGTGAGCCATCCGATCCCAGCACTTTCCCCAGAACACACAGTCTGGCTCACAACTTCTTCAGCCAGCGGAATGGAGACAGCCAGCACATCGTCCATGCGATGGGCCACTGCCACATAGACTCAGGTCTCCATTTTTACCTGTGTTTGTCTGTCTGTTAGATTGGCAGGAGTACGCAAAAATCACCAGGAAGCATGGTGGAAGGATGTGTGCATGGGTCACACATTCAGTTTCGGTGCAGATCTAAGTCAGGGGGCAGATCCGGGAATTTTCGAGATCTGAGATAAAGCATTGTTCAACATTTCTGTGGATTTCTCTGAGAATAATTCATGGAACCGGATAAGGCAAAGCAGGCATGTTTTTAGGACTGATATTTATGAGTTAATGCAATTTTTTGGAGAAATAAAAAAGAAAAAAGTCGAGTCTTGGCAGAGGTGTGTCCTCTACTGAGGGACATTCTAGATATTTCTGATATAACATAGAGCTGAGTAGCTATTCTGTGACATGTGTCTGTAGCTCTGAGTGTCAAAAACCTTCAAATACCAAAAGCTGGCCCTGACGGCTCAGTCCTATGTGTATTGTTGATATTTATTGTCAAATTCTTGAAGGTATTTACTGATTTAAATCTTAATTTTGCAGAATCTAGGCTTGTGCTCTGCAAAATTTTATATATTGGGACTGTGGGCTGTTATGTAAAATGAAAAAAAAGGTTATAAAAGAAAATGACTTTAATCCGTAGCCTGGCTGTGGCCCTACGAAGAGACCATTCGTAAATGTGGCAGAAGCTGGGTGACAGTGATCCGTTTGATGGAGACGAACCCGGACTTCGTGTTTACTTGCTCTCAGGTAATTCCAAACGATTGTAGCTTTATTTGAGCTGTAAAATGTTTTCAGCACTCTTTGGTTTCAACCTTTTTTTTTTGTTTGTTTACTGTTTGTGCAGGCTCAGCAGTTCCAGTGGGTGAAGAGCTGGTACCCAGGACTCTTCTCCCAGATCCAGCATTTTGTGAAGAAAGGCCAGTTCATTCCAGTCGGAGGAACGTGGGTGGAGATGGTAAAACTGATCTCAGAAATAAATCACACATGTATTATAATGTGGTTGTATTCTGCGGCCTGCTGTCATTCAACCATTTTTTTATGAACATTTGCTCATCAGGATGGAAATCTGCCCTCAGGTGAGTCCATGGTCAGACAGTTCCTGGAGGGCCAGCGCTTTTTTAACCAGGAGTTTGGGATCCACTGTAAAGAGGTGAGGATGATTCATATAACATGTCAACACGTCCTGAGTTTACCTTTGTATTCTACCAGTGCTAAATCTGTGGCCGCACATAAACATTCTACTTCTCTTTCCTTATTAGTTCTGGCTTCCAGACACATTTGGCTACTCTGCCCAGCTTCCTCAAATTATGCAGGGTTTTGGCATTACCAACTTTTTGACACAGAAGCTGAGCTGGAACCTGGTCAACACTTTTCCTGTAAGTACTGTAGATACCACACACTTGAATTTAAAGGGAAAAATAGTTCCTAAATTTACATTTCCACAGCACAACACATTTTTCTGGGAGGGTCTCGATGGGTCCAAGGTTTTAACGCACTTCCCTCCAGGAAATTCCTACGAAATGAAGGGCAAGATCCAAGATGTGAGTCTGGTTTCTTGGAAACATAACAGCGTGATGGTTTAGTCTCTGAAGAAATGTTTACAATTCTCGCAAACCCTGTTTTTATTCTCCTCCCACAGCTTGTGAAAACAGTAGAGAATAACAAAGACAAAGGCAGAGCCAACCACAGTGCCGTGCTGTTCGGTTTTGGTGATGGCGGGGGTGGTCCAACACAGCTCATGCTGGACAGACTGAGCCGGGTCCGGGACACTGACGGGCTTCCCAAGTCAGTTAGACTTCTCACTATGAGAGACTTGATTTATTTGTAACACAATATCAACCTGCATTCACCCCATAATGTTCGATACTTTCTTAAGTTGGTAAAATTCTTATTCAAGAGCTGCACGAGATTCATTCAACCTCTCTCTCTTCCTCTGTCTTTACCTCGCAAGCTCATGCTGAACACACAGAAACACACAAACATTGTCGTTGCTGCATTTGTAAACTCAGCCTGGGTCAAAACAACATCATTTTGTCTTCAGGAACAGAAATAACGTACTTGATTATTTGCATAAACAGCAGGGAAGTCAGATCTGATCACAGGTTGACACAGGAGATGCATTCAGGACCCATTTTATTGTCAGGTGTGAACACAGAAACCTAAAACTTTCCACTTGTGATATTATCTCTCAGAAGGGATGTTAATACAAGGTCTGAATGGGACCATACACTCAACACTCGTCAGCAACAATGACCTCGGTCAATCTGAGCTTGAAACACTCCCCAGGAATGATGGGTCTATGATTTTTTAAAACTTTGCCCGGGCTGTGGGATTTTAAACGGGTGTGTCAGACCACTCAAAGCTGTAAAAGGATATGAGTGATGAGAAATGATGTCACCGTGGTGTGGTTTCACGATGTAAAGTCATTACAGTCACGTTTTAGTCATACCAAACAATCAGAGAGGACATTGCTCACTTTTAACTCCTGTTTGGTTCCCAGAGTTCAGACGTCTTCTCCCAACAAGCTATTCTCTCAGCTTCGCAGTGACTCAGCTCTGCTGTGTACGTGGAGCGGTGAGCTCTTCCTGGAGCTGCACAACGGCACATACACCACAGAGGCGAAGGTAGATTTAACATCTGGTCACAGTTCTTATTTTAGAATTAAAATCGTACTTGCATAACAAAAACTAAAAGGCTCTCTCTGAGAAAAAGGACAAATGTAAGAATGGTAAATAGACTGTATTTATAGAGCAGCTTTCTGGTCTTGATGACCACTCAAAGCGCCTCACAGTACAGTTTTGCCATTTACACATTAATACAGTGCATCTTTGTGCAGCACTCTCTCCTTCACACATTGCTCACAGTTGTCAGGGGCAATTCGGGGTTGTGTATCCGGCCCAAGAACATTTTGGTACACGGAGAGAAGGATACTCCCGGGCCTCTGGTTAATGGATTACCCGTTCTACCCCCTGAGCCACAGCCACCCCCAGAAGAAAAAATTTAATAAACAAAATAATAAGAGTAGTGCATAATAACACTATAAAATGCATTTACACATACAAACACACATTTTTGAGAATATGTTGGAATCTGGATTTAAATATTTTAAGCATATTTTTAAATATTAATAATAAATATATGTAACAAGATATATATAGTCCACAAGTAGGTCGAATTGCCTCTAGTACTGTACAAAGTAAGTTTATGACAAAACACAAAAATGTAAATAATCATAAAAAGGAGGATCATTCTTGCAATGTCACGCAGGAAATAGAGATGAAGTGTAAAGCTGAATGAAAAGATAAAAATGCTGCAGTTATGCATTGCAACAATACCAAATGTTTGTTATGTATAAAGTGCAGATGTCTTTATACTTTGTGTTTTTGCTTCCAGATTAAACGAGGGAACCGTCAATGTGAGACCCTCCTTCATGATGTGGAGGTAGCCAGCTGCTTGGCTCTGTGTCGGGACCCGACATTTAAGTATCCGGTGGAAAAGCTGCAGAAGCTGTGGAGGTGCAGACACGTTAAAGTTTCATGATGTGGATTAATCTGCTGTCTCTGTTGCAGTATTTAAAATAGCTTCATCGATCGATTTTCTTCCAGGCTGCTTCTTCTAAACCAGTTCCACGACGTGATCCCTGGCAGCTGTATAGAGATGGTTGTGGAGGATGCACTCAGGTATTATGAAGGTACAGTTTCATCACAGCGGCTGTCCATTACAACCAGAGCCACATGGTGTGTATAGTTTCATGTCATGTTTCCATGGGCACTGCGTATAGAATAGCTGTATGAATGAGTGTGTGGATGGGACTTGCACTGGTGAGACTGGAAAAGCTCTATATACAGTAAATACAACATATTTACCATTTTCTCTATATCCTTGTGGAAAGCCCTATACATATGCATATACATATGTAGTTTTCCAAATTTAAAAGTACGTCACAATGTGTTTTAGATATCCGCAGTGATTGTACTGCACTGCTGCGTGATGCGTGTGGAGCTCTGGCATCAAAAGGAAAGGGTGCAGGTGTTTTCAACTCTCTGTCGTGGGAGCGTCATGAGGTCATCCAGACTCAGGACGGGGCTGGTGAACCTGATCTTGGTATGTTTGATTTTAAGAGTGTTTACAGTGTGTATTTATATTGTGACTGTAGCTTCATGTCTGTGTCTGTGTCGCTGCAGCTCTGGTGAGAGTTCCCAGTGTGGGTTTAGCTCCCGTCACAAACACAGAGCCTGTGTCTCCAGTGTCTGTCACTGTTCAGGTGTGTGAAGTACAGAGAGCATTTCAGTGATGTAGCTGTGTTGTAATGTAACTTAAATAACTGAGCTGCTGTGTAACATCGCAGGCCAACGGAGCTGTCGCCATGGAGAATGGGATCTTGCAGACTGTCGTAAACAAAGACGGCACTCTGGCATCGCTGTACTTGATCAATGCAAACAGGTACTGTAAAACCACATGAAACATCTGTATCTACGACAACATTAACATGAACATATTAACATCTGTCTCACGCTGTTGGTTTCAGAGAAGCCATCTCTGACAGCTGTCATGGGAACCAGTTTGTCATGTTCGATGACGTCCCGCTCTACTGGGATGCTTGGGATGTAATGGACTACCATCTTCAGACAAGGTGTCACTCTCATCCATCTGACGCCACCTTAAGACACATCAGTGTATTTGCAGGTGTTATAGATTTGTCAACTCTGACTTTATAGGAAGCCGGTGTTGGAGGTGGTGCAGCCCGTTCATGTGACGTCCTCAGGTGGACTGCGGGGCAGCCTCAGCTTCTCCCTCAGGATCAGTGACAAAAGCACCATCACGCAGACGATCGTCATGGACGCCATGTGTCCTTACATCAAATTCAGCACAGAGGTTTTACAACATTAACCATATGTGGAGAAATCTGCAGACAAATTCTTCAACACCTTAAAAGAAAAACCCAATGTTGCACTTTCAGGTGAAGTGGGCCGAGTCACACAAGTTTCTAAAGGTGGAATTCCCAGTGCGAGTGCACAGCCCCAACGCTACCTATGAGATTCAGTTTGGACACCTGCAGAGACCCACACACAGAAACACCTCATGGGACTGGGCCAGATTTGAGGTACAGCACTGTGGTGTTAATAAAAGTGTGGGTTATTTCAATTCACACTGATCCCTGCAGGTACCAGATGTTCGTGATGCTAGAATGAAAGTAATGCTGGTATTTTCTTATTCCCATCTTTACTCCCACAGGTTTGTTAATACAACAGCTTCCCGTAGAAGAAAAAATAACACACCCACATTCTATGAAATCTGTGAACAGATGTTTCACACATGCACAGGAGCAGCGTGAGTGGGGGAGAGCTGAAGGGCAGGAAGTGCCGTTTTTTGAGAGAAAGCATTAAAAAAATCATTAAGTCCTGCTCCCAAACTGAAAGACCACACTCTTGAATAAAGATAGGGGGAAAATTACCCATAATGCTGCTGCTGAATTGCTTTGCATCGTTTTTACCTATTTTAATCATGGTTTCTTTCCCAGGTGTGGGGTCATAAGTGGGCCGACTTGTCGGAGCACAACTTCGGTGTTGCGCTGCTGAACGACTGCAAATACGGTTACTCAGTCCATAAGAACACAATGACTCTGTCCCTGTGAGATCATACACAATTCATTTGACTGTACAATTCCCTTACACAAAGTTGGAATAACAAGTACATGTAACAGTTGATGTCTGTGTCTTAGACTGAGAGCACCGAAGGCCCCAGACTCCAACGCTGACATGGGGACTCATCATTTCACATATGCAATCATGCCTCACACAGGTCTTACTAGTCTTTTTTGAAAATGAAACATATTTGTTAAAATTTCAAGTGGACAGTGTAATCGTTTTAACACGTTTGTTACGTGTGTTCAACAGGATCCTTCCAAGATGCCTCTGTAATCCAGAGTGCGTACAACCTCAATTTCCCTTTGAGGTTAATCCGCTGCATCCCCAACTCTGCACCCTGGAGTGCTTTCTCTGTCAGCGCTGAAGCCGTCATCCTGGAAACCGTTAAACAGGTATCCAATTAAAGCCAAGCTCGACCCGGTGTGACATCCACTAAGCCCACTTCATGTTGTTTACTCTATTTACTATAACAGGCTGAGGACCGGAAGGAGGCATTCATTGTCCGACTCTATGAGTCACATGGAAGCAGCGTGACGGCAACATTCCGCACCACTCTTCCAGTTAGGGAAGCCTGGCAGTAAGTGTAATTATTTCTAGTGATACATACTGTCTGGATTGTTTTTATGTTATATTGTCTGCTGAGAACAAAACCTTTTCTTCCTCCTTCCAGTTGTGACCTCATGGAGAGACAGGACTCCACCCAGCCAGCGCCCATGACTTCCGGTGGAATCACGCTGAACTTCAGCCCCTTTCAAATTATGTCACTTCTCCTTATCCTGTGATTATTAATCCTCGGGATGATCACATTTGAAATACTGAGGTTATGTTTTCATCTGTTTGTTAACAAGATTCAACAAATTCAGGACGGATTTCCACAAAACTTGAAAGGATACAATGTGGGTCAGGGAGGAACCCATTAAAGATCAAGGAATTGTTATTGGGTGATTTTGAGGTTTTTCTGGGGAACAATTCATAGATCTTGATGATAAGTGCCATCCAAGTTAAATGCACGTTTGATTAAGAAAAATGTAATTGGTCAAAAATCAACAATTTAGAATCTGTTGCTGAATGCAGCGCATATATTTGAGGTACTCATTGGCATTACTTTACTTCAAAGCAAACACTTGCAGAACTTTTGTAGAAACATGGTTTTATTAAAAGCAAAAAAACAATAAAAATCCCAGCTGCGTCCAGTCATCTTCTTTTTTCGCTGTTCTGTCTGGTAACTCTGCTGCTCCGCCTCTGCGAGCCTGCAACAAGGACTTTTTTGTTAACATTCTAAAATGACAGTAGAAAAAAAACTTCTTTCGGTCTGAGCGAATATTAAGAACACACCTGCGGTCATCTCTGCAGGACTGCTCTTCCTCCTATGTGCATTTTGTCTCTTTTCGCGCTGGGCTGTACTTCCACTCCGTGTTTTTTCATTCTTTCTTTTCTCCAATCCGGCTTCCCGTAGATGTGCATCCTTTTCTTTCTTCACTCTTTTGGTAGCAGTTTCCTGTTTCCCCGCTTTTTTCTTTGTTGTGCTTTCAGAGCCACCCCTGGCCACCTGGTAAAAAAAACTGGTGGTAAAGAGTTGCATTTGTAGACATGCCAAGAAAAAAAGCTCTCTTAATACCTTTTTCTTTTGTGTGTAATCATGGTCGTCTTCTTTCTTTGTTCTCTTCTTTGCCTTGAGTGACTTTGAATCTACGATAAGCAGAAAAGATGAGGTCAGTTGAGTCAGATGCTTGGACTGTTCTCTGAGAGTGCTCAGTTCTGTGTTTTCACTGTTCTTCATACCTTTAGGAGCCATGGGGCCTGGATCACCCTGGAGATAGAACATTACAAATTATTATCAGTGATAATAATAAATATAGTTCCAGAAATTAGGGCATAAAATTCTACTCAAACTTACTTTGAACCACATCGTTCTTCCATTGTGGTCCCGGATAGATTTCATTCCATCAACGTAGTAACACTGCAGCCATGCCTTAAAGTCAGAGTAGTCCGCCTTCTCAGGATCATAGCCTTTTCCCCCTAAATCAAAAAACCCGAGTGGGTGTCACAGGAATCAGATCCCTCACATGCAAGGTTTCTACAGTTATTTTTGGTAGTTTTCCTCAGTCTTACTAAGGTTTAAGGGGACAGGATGTCACACCTTGTCAAGAGGCAAATTGTGATTTGTGGATATGGGCTTTTGAAATAATATTTGATTGATGGACATTCAGTGGAGCAGACAGAACAACCCACCTTGGTTCACCACTTCTAGAGGGACTGTATGACACAGTCTGAGCAGGTCTGCCGCCGCCGCCTCCTCCTCCTTCTTCACCACCTTTGTTTTTGCTGAGCTCTTCTAGAAGAAAAAAGGTGGTGTTTAAAAAAACGTTACATGATAACACTTGAGGTTCTGTTTGGTTGGCTCCCTCACCTTCTCATTTTTTACACACTCGTCACTTTCGCATGAATCTTCTGACTCGAGGCCTTCCAGTACAGTCCTGGCGGATACAAAGGGCGGAATGTTCAACCTATGAAAGAGAGAGACTCAACTTAAGACTCATTTCATTGTGAAACAACAAGGCTCCTTTGTGTTCAGTGTCTGAATCATAATGCAGTCCTGCAGGGGGCAAGAAACAGAAGTGAAAGAAACCATTCATGTATCTGAGGGAAACAGACCTTGAAAGATGTTAGAGCCGGTGTCATGTCGAGGTCATTTTCAACAAAAACAAAACAAATAGTACCTGACAGGAACAGAGACCATGTGTTTACCCAGCTCATAAACAAGCAGTAAAGCAAAACCAATCCAAATACTTTTCTTATGACAATTGTCTTTTAGTTTACCTTTCGATTTTTTAAGATCCTGTTAATATTGTTTCTCTGTGTGTGTGTTAGTGGAAGGATGTAGTATGGGTCAGGGAAGAACCCCTTCAAATTTGGAGCAGATCCAAAGGGTTTCCACGTCCTTTAACAATGCATGATAGGTTATGTTTTACAATATTTCCTTAAGTTCAATTCTAATCTCAGAGAATAATTAGGTGAATTTAAATGTGGTTTCATATGGGGACTGTTTGACCTTGGTGGAGGTGTGTGCTCTCATAAGTGCAATTCCAGCTGCAAACTAGTCCCATGGATATTATTCTTGTCTCCCTTTAGACAAGCATAAACTATAATACTGATTAGAATTGCACTGAGCCAACTTTTCTCTCTCGAAATACTGATACCAACCAGTGCTCTTTTTTCTGTACCGATCACTGTGTGGAACTCATTGGTTCTGCGATACCAAAAAAAGTATTAACTTAAACCATTTGTCAGTACAAATACTGTGTGAAAGCTATTTTGATGCATGATAAATTATGAGTCTTTAATAACAAAAATGTCACAGAATCACAGGTTCCAGCTTCTCAAAATCAAAGATCTGCTGCTGTTGAGTCTAATGTAATTGTAAACAGAATGTTTTGAGGTTTCATCTCAATCGAGAATAGTTTACTTAGACTAAATTGTTATGGAAATGTTTATGGTTTCGGTCTATTTTGTTAAGTTTGTTTTACTCTGGCTGGCCAACCTAGGCTGAAGGTACCTAGCCTTAAATCTGATTCAGCAAATACTCCTTCATGCTGCAGTATGCGTGGGACCTAAGCTTGAGTCAGGGAATCAGACAGATTACCACTGGATGAAGGTTCGTATCTCTGTGAGAGGAAACTTTTGGAGACAGATGAACAGTACAACAATGTTTTTGCGAAGCAAGCCAAGGTTGAGATATATTTTTCCGATAGAGAAGCTCCATGTGAAAACTAATGTTGTGGCCACTGTTACTTTTTCCCATGGACAGCTCCATTTTGGTAATGGAAACACAACTGTTATCTTTCTGAGCAGCTCGTCAGCCTGCTCTCCCTGATGCATCCGGGATTGAAAATAAAATTCCAGCTTTTTTTTTTTTTTATACAGATGTATCCCGTATATCTCTTTACCCCTATTATTCTACTACTTCAATCTCTTTCATTTGGCTGGAAATTTGTTTTAAACTATGCTTTCTGTTTTGTTATTCAGTAGTTGTATCTGTGCATCAATAATACAGAACTGAATAAAATGACGTGTGTGTGGTTCTGGAGGTTTTACATGTTTACTACCTGAAAAGGATTTCGGCCCTCAGATAGTTCCCGATGCCGTTGAAGAACTTCTGATTGAGCAGGACTTCACAGATGGGCCTATCGAAGGCCCGGTCAGAAAGATGTGACACAACATTCTCCCTGCAGAGAGATTAACTTGTCAGTGACACAGTGATATTTTGACTGAACTGAGGACATGTGACACTCAGGAAGACCAACCTGAAGCTTTTGTACTCAAACATGATGCATGGCCCTCTGTCAGGCTGCCAGGTCCCATGGGGCTGCCAGCTGCCGAACCTGCGTGTGTCCACAAAGCTCAGCACTCTGCACGGTTTCTCTTTGGAATAAAAACGCAAGTGAGAGTGTTTGGGTATCTCATCCTCTGTGGTGAAACGGAAATAGCCAGACATCCCAAAGCGAAAGACAATGTCCATGGGCTGGTCGGCCTGTCCTGTCTTCGCTCTCTGTTTGGGATTGTCGCCCTTTATGGGCGTCAGAGTGAGCTTCACTTCCTTCCCTCTGGAAGCAGCTGTGATGCGGTAGGCCTCACAGGTGAAGGGCACCTCAGGGCTCTTGCTGACTTCAGATTTTCTAACTGCTCCAGTAAACACCAGCCCATCACACATTCTGTTCACGTAGAGGCTAGCGAGGTGGAGCTCCGGTCCCTCAGGCATTTTGTTGGAACTGATGAAGCTGTGGAGTAAGTGTCAGAGTGAAAAATAAGTCCCAAACGATCACATCCTGAGACGTATCTTTTAACAACCTACGGACATCTTACATGTTCACATGATGGATATTTAGGTGGATTTGTTTACCTCTGCCTGAGAGCTTGTTTTTGTTTGTTTATTTAGCAGGTTTACACAAACACTACTCAACCGGTGGAGGGGTGTGGCATGACCCAAGGGAGAACTTATGCAATTAGGCTGTGGGACTTCAGGGGGCGGATCCTTTTAATTTGTTTACGCATTCTTTAGAATTCTGAGATTTGTCAACATTCTCTTTGATTACTGTGGGAGTAAGTAAGGAATCTTAATTAAAAACCAGACATGTTTAGGGGACTGATATTTATAAGTGTGTGTGATTTGGTGCAGATCTACAGAAGAATCTACATGATGTGGTTTGATAAAGAGACTGTTGAGCCTTGGGGGGAGGTGTGACTCTACTGAGAGCCATTCTAGTTCTTCTTCTTGTATACCAACAGCGTAATATAAGAGCAAACTTCAATGTTTCCCTGCAGAATTATTTTCCTTGATGTGTGGAAGTGGCTTTAAAACAACAGACAAACAATCTCAATGATGAATAAAATCAAAAGTGAAAACGCATCCAGGCTGAGACAGAAAACTCTTTCATTGCTGGACTGCACGACGCGTTCAGTGCATCAGCTGACCAACACAAACACCATGTGTGCACGTGGTCGATCATTTTGACTCAGTCAGCAAATACACATCATTGCTCGTGTTACAATGAAAGAGAACCGGTCAACATAACAAACATTTAAAAGAAGGCTGTTCCCTGAGTTGAAAGGTCGTAGGTTCAAACAACATACCCAGACCAGGAAATAGACCCCGCCGATGATTCCAGATGTGTGAAGCAGGACGTGTGATGAGCCTATCCTGCAGAAACGACCCTGTCCCTGCACCGTGCACCGGGACATGTGCAGGGATGTTACTCAACAACACGTTTCGCTTCATGCTCGTTACCAAACACGTTGTGTAACTTCACCGCCCGAGATCTAGTCGTCCACTGCAAATATCGCGATATTTCCGGGCTTCTCGTGCTCTTGTTCCTAAACTCAGTTGAAGGGATTCATATGGAAGTTTGTGTCGTGATCTGCAGCAACCATAGACTGTATGGCAGCAACTCATGAAAACAGTTTTTTTGTAGTTCGATGCATTATGGGAAATGTAGGCTGGAGCAAGAATACAAATATTTCCTTGTTTTACATTTTATTTCTGATCAAATCAAGGTAACATACAAATCATCAACATGATTCAAATAACAATTATTTAGCAATATTTTATAAATGGTCCGTTTTGTTCAGAAACATTCTCAGCAGTTATTCACGTAGTAATAAAATACATCAAAATATCAATCCGTCTAAATGAGGAATGGGCCTCTGACTTAAAAGGTAGGGTTGGTATTTTGTTTCTGAAACACTTTTTTATCTTAATCCTCTTCACATCCCTATAGCCATAAAATATAGCCATAGCCAGTACCGATAGCCATACTGTCAGACATGCACTGAACTCTGGAGAATCTCCTCACTTTCTCCAGAAGCGCTGTAAGTAAGAATGCAAATGTCCAAGTGAGGCTCAAGACTTCTCCGGCCAGCCCCCTAGCAGAAAAAACTGGGTGATGTCCAAATGAGCCTGAGTGAATACAGTAGGAGGTCTACAGGATTTACAGCGACGAGCAACACAAAAATGAAACTAAAAACAAAGTTGTGCCATACACCTGGAAGACACCAACGATGATGTTGATGTGCCAACGTTAGTGTCAATGTAAACAAAAACACATGATCTCCATAGGAGAATCAATACTGCTGCCACATCCCTCGTCTGAATGCTCCGCAGATTACTATGTTGTTGTGAACGTGTCTGTGCAGAGAATCTCCTGCTTCACTGTTCGGCAAACTCGGCCAGTTCTCCAGACATTCTCCAGAGTTCAAGTCTGAAGATGGCTTAACTGACCTGCCTATCTGCAAGCACCCTGCCCGTGCTCTCGCTGCACATGACCAGAGTCTTCAGCCCGGGGAGACATGCACCCCCGAAGCAGAGACTAAACCCAGAAGTTAGCAAGCGAGCCACGCACAAGTCGACTTCTAGTAGTTGTCAGGCACTGTTCATCTGTTTTGGGGGTCTAGCTTTGATGATAGGGCTGATGGGATAGAGTGGGATGTATCGGTTGCATTTTTTCAAAGTGAAGTCTTGCTAGCTTTTCCTGCATTACCAACCTTAGCTTTAACCTTATATATAACTACATTCATACAAAAACAAATATGCTGTACAAGATCTACGTGTGGCACTTCTGGCATTCTATCAGCACCAATTATGTCCAGCTCTTCAGATATTGAGGTTAGACTTCATTGTAGTTCATTCATCATAGCCTGGGCTTGTTTGAGCTCTGTTGAAAGAAACATGAGAAAAGATTTACCACATCATAAATAATCCTGACGTATATAATTCTTTTGAGAATTAAAAACTATAAGTAAACTGTTGTTTAACTAGATGAAGAGCTGACCTGCAAGCAACACTCTGAACTTGTCAGCAGAAACCGAAACAACGGTTGTGTCTGTGCAGCCTGACTCCGCTCCCTGTGCCTGGAGTTTCAGATGAATCACGGGTTCATTCACCTCCCTCAGCTCACTGGAGCTCAGAGTGTAATCAACCCGCCAAGAAACCGCCTCAAGGCGCCCCACTGCAATGCAGCACAGAGCAGATTTAGTGGCTGATTCGATCAAATGTCTGCACACATCGTCAGCAACTTTCTTCTTCCCTGTCTGAAAAGGGCAAGATATACAGAAACACTTACATCTCAGGCTCGTCTCTCGTAGTTTGTCTTGCAGCGCAGAGTGCTTATCTTCGTATGATTTGCAGAGTCCAGTTGTGTGTTCTGAAAGGCAGAGTGTGTGTAATGAATAGTCAGAATTTATTTTAGTATAATCACATAAAAGTACCAAGGCTGAACAATAATGATACATCAACATCAAATAACTTCGATATAGTCACAATATCTGAGAAAAGAAAATACAATTACAAGCTGGCAGAGTCAATGGTGCATTGTTTGTATAATTCCTGCACCAAAGTCACAATGCACCACACCACCCACCCGGCCATCAAGGACAGCCTTCAGAGACATTGTTCAAGTACCCGCTGAATACAGTGGTACCATATAAATACACAATAGTTTGTTATACAGGGAAATAACTTCAGACAATAACACAATAGGCTGTGATTTAAGACTTGTATGTTTCTGGAAATGGAGAAATTGTTTGTGTCTGACGAGCTACAGTTCTATTTAAATTGAAACATTTCCTGTTATTGCTAATATTCTGGGAAGTTATGTAATAAAGAACACATTTAGCATGTATATATGTATTCAGGAGCCCTTGGTTGTCTGACAGCTAGTTTGATAAAGGTTATATCTCAGGGTTGGATCTCTCTGAAATATGATAAGTAGTTTCAACCAGCCTGTCATTAGTCCTGGTACATTGCTGTTGGCAGAAAGAGGTTTGTTCCTGTGTGACCATAGATTATGCAACATCATCAAGATTTATTCATACTAAACATGGAGCGCTTCAGTGGACTAACCTTTGGGAAGGCCGAGCTGCTGCAGCTCACTGGACAGTGATTCACTGTCAACATCATGCTTTGCTGCACTGGAGAAAATGAAGCTGAGCACCGCCACACTGGCTTTGATGTCTCCGCTCTCTGCAAGATAATTTAATGTCATGAGTGCAATGATAGGAAAATATTTAATGGAAGTATAATAGTTTTATAGACTTGTAGATAAATAATTTAAAGGCAGACCCAGTAGTAAAATAATGTAACTATGAATAACTGTGTACTGTGCTTAAGAACAATTTGAGGTACTTGTACATGATTTTATAATTCTCTTTCACTATATTATACATTTTAGTGCTTTAACTTCTATTTTAAATGTTGATTTTAACTTTGCATACAAAACATATGATCATATGAACATAATACTCACAGCTGGATAATGTGTACTTTAACATTTAATACTGAAACACTTTAACCTTCAAATTCACATGTGTTTTTAGTTCAGTATTTAGCTGGAGTGAGATTTTGAATGTGAGACTTGTATTTGGATCGTAGTACTAATAGCACTGTAAAGATGTAATGTAGTAAAGATATAAACACCACAGAGAAGCAGTAGAAGAGACACATACCAAACTTTGCATCTGCAGTGAGCTTTGCAACCTTGTCAAACTAAAACAACAGAGGGAGACAGAATCAGTGTGGGTGAAATGTGAAAGTATATTATAATGAATAGTACATATTTAACTCTTACATCAATTCCCTCCCCAAGTAAATCCTTCAGCACTTGAGCACACAGGAGTTTCATCTTGACGCTAGACTGTCAACAAATCACAAGGCAGAGGAACACACGTATTATTCAAAGAAAAAAAAAACGTGGATTTGAATATTGTTTTATTGATTACGTGCAGAATCTGTGACTACTCACGATTTTCGCTAACGTGCTAATTTCGGCCAGCACCCAGTCTGGACAGTCCAGATCTCCACAGAAGCGGAACCGCTACAACACACGAGACATAACAACGTGATCAGCTGAGACAAAATCATCAGGTAAAACCAGGCAGCGTGAGTATTTACATTACAGGGTGCTAGTCGCTTAGCCTGCTAGCTTAGCCCGCTAGCTCTCCCTGACTAAACACTGACAGCATCGAGCCAATTAGTTAAGTAAGACACTTGTGCATCTTGCGATCAGAAAGTCCGTACTGTCCAATACATACTTTTATTCACAAACACGCAAACTAGTGTGAAGTAAAAAGATTATTGGACGTGTTTACCATGACGACCAGTCAGCTGAGCAGCCGCAAGTAAGCGCGAGGGGGGCGGGGCGTCTCCTCCCTTCTTTTTCGTTGTTTACTGGTGGGGGACGTTTAACGTTGAATGTGCAATACCGCCACCTATTATACTGGAGTGTGATATATATATATATATCACGGCATGGCGGTGAATTGCAGAGCAACGCGTTCCATCGACGCAGAACTTCGAATGCTCAACGACCTACGGCGTAGGTACGGCGTCGACGTGACGCAGAAGCATAAACTAGGCTTTAGCCTTGATATAACTGTCTGTTCTCTTGTGTTTTCTCCTGATACAGATAGTATCACTTTTCTCCGTCATCCCATTGTTTTTCCCAGTCAGTCATGATGCTACTTCTAATTATTGTTTTGGATATATATATATATAATGCAGTTTCTTATAGTTTATTGCCATCTCATTGATGTCACTAAGGGCTTTTTTTTATTACCCATTGTGGCCACACACACAAACTTGAGATATGCCATTTACCTGAAGAAACTGCATCTCATCTCAAGTAAGAGTAGGTTATAGTAGGGAACAGACCGCGCCCTCCTCCAGTCGGCAGGTGGATCCCACAGTGTAACAGCTGATCCTCACTGTTATTGGGTTTCTCCACTTCTGCGGACTGTTCTGAATCGAATCTGAACCACTTTTATTGGACGATTTATTTTTTCTGGACAATTGAAGCGCATTCATCTCTGGAGTAGATCCGCAGAGCTGCGGTACGCAGGAGGAGAACTGCTGAACTCACGCTGCTCTGCTCACAGACATCACGACACTTGGATCGCGGTTCATTCGAAGGTTTGGAGAAATAACAGCGGTTCGTGATCGCAAACGCAAAATGAGTCGGTTGGTTTTTATATACCTTTGGCTCGCGAGGGATCTTCTGCTCGTCCACGCACAGACGCTTGGATCAGAAAATAATCCGAGACTTCTGAGCAGAGGTACGTTCACTGACCTCTCACAGATACATTCAGCCTGGCATGTTATATTTGTAGATGGAAACATAATTGAGTTGAATAGAAGCTGTTAAGAATAATCAGCTACAGGCAGTGGTGTATAGTGGTCCCTGGACAAGTGGGTAAACTCTCAATGTTTGCCCTCTTTTAACGCAGCCCAGAAAAAATGCCCTGTTTTAGAAACAGTGACATGTAAGATGTTAGATGTTGGACTACTCTATTTAGTTTACCCAAAAAACATCAGTAGTATTTGCTCATTGTCAAATAATTTCTGCTGCTTGATCTCAGGGAGGAAGGATTATGAAATTACGAAACCAATACCAACACAGACTAGTGAGAGACAACTATGCATTTTGAGTGAACTATTGACACCTTTTCTCTCACTTGGCAAGTCAGTATTTTCTTTTGTAAATTGTCTCTTTGAACAGCTGATTTGCAACAGATAGCGTGGGCCASAGTGTGCCACTATTATAAAATGAACATGACTTGATCAGGAGCAGTTTGTAGGTATTACTGGTCACACAGGCAGCCTGCATGAGTGTAAAATATAGAAGCGAGTTAAAAAGCACATTAGAGGCAGAAAAAAATGGGTAATTTGGCTCGCAGATACTACTGGATGGTACGCATCAGGGGGGATTTAGAAGTGGGTATACGCCGTATACCCCTGTATACCCTGGACTACACCAGTGGCTACAGGGGTCAATCCTCAAATCTTCTCCAAGCCCGCCAAGCTAATCAGTTTAAGGGTGACCCATCTATTCCTGAGGGATGAGATGACACTGAGTATAATGTTTGAATGTGACAGTTGTCATTGACACCGATCAGTCTGATCTGCACTAACAGCCTCGGCGACTGAGGTTTAATGTGACCCTTCATGTGTTCCCCCTCAGGTACAGTCGGAGGTGGATATGAATACCAAGACCTACAGAAACACAGTGTCCTATTTTACGATGAGGACTCTGAGGACATGTATGTGGGGGGCACTGACTTTGTGTTAAAACTAAACATGAATGACAACAACGTCAAAGAGGTGAGGTGCATGTTCCAGAGTTAAAAACCACTGTTTCTGAACTCTTTAATTTCGTTTTTGGCCTTTTATACATCAATCACACCCACTAGCTGTTTAGTATGCAGCTGCTCATTATCAGATGTTACTGTAGCAGATGGCTGCATCCCACTTGTTCCATCTGCAGCCACTGACAGACACTCGCTTTCAAACGCAGACATTGTTTGGCTTCATGCTGCTGATTGAGTGCTTGTGGTAAACACAGGAAATTATTGACATGGAGTTTCTGTAATATATGGCCACTTTTGTGTTATTGACTATCCATTATGATGGCTCTGACCGTAAGACACGCACACACACATCTTTATTTCACTGATGGATAGTCATCTGTGGCAGTTGAGGTGTGCCACTATCAATTATCTTGAGTAAAATTGGTCCTAAGATTGTAAACCTGAGAAAGATGGATGGCAGATCTTCTTTTTTATCTAACCTCCAGCTATTAAGGA